TTGAAGAATTTCAGTTGTTTATGCAGCATGTCTACACATGTATGTAACAAGGATTTGTTTCTTGTTTCTTTCCAGACCATATAATTGTCAAATTGGACCCATAATTGTTTCTTTCCAGACCATATAAGTCATTTCCAGAAACATCTTTCAATTAGCTTCATCAAACCACCTTAACATCACCTTAACATCCAACAGGTTATTTCAGAGGCCTGCTTGCCATAAAAGACAGAGCCAGATAAAGAAGAATGTTAGTGTCTGCTCCAGTTTCAAAAATCCCAGTACCAGCTCATCTGGGTGGATGAGGTAGGGATGAAAGAATTTAGTATATGTCATAAAAATCCAGCCTCTTCAAAATCTGAAGAGAAGTAACAGGCTATATTGAAGGAGCCAAGGAGAGGAAGGGAAACACCCATCTTCTCCAGAGGATAGTTCTGCTTTCCTTCATTGATTTGTGAGTGGATGGTTAAGCACTGGCATGTGCATTCTTACCCCTCTCATTCCTATGTAGTTATGATGCTCATATCTGTCCCCTGGCTTTTGGAAAGGAAATGTGCCATCATATCCGCTCAGGTACCCAGCAAGTCCTATCAGCATCTGGGGAGGAAAAGGGGCAAACTGGTCAGGGAAACAATCTCACAGTCAGTGGAATCCACTCCAGCTGCAGGAAAGATGCTCACAGCATCCCACATCCAACCATCAAAAATATCCAGTTACTACTGAGACACTCTGTCAAACATGAAAAAGGAGTTTGCGTACAAGATTCATACTGCAACTATACAAACAGATCTGCTGGATTTGCAAAATTCACTCACCTCCTTACCACTGGCAAGTGGGAAACTCTCCCAGGTGAGTATGGGGACATAAGCCAACAAATTTCTAAGATTTAATTTAAAAAAAAAAGTGTAGTACTTATGGTAGCAGAGAAAACCCTCCAAACAGGACCCAAATGTAGCCACAGAAGCAAAATTTTCCTGAACTTGCAGACAACTCCAGCGACTTTGTTGCTGCTGGTAGCTTTATCAAGCTGCAATAGAGTGAAATTAACAAGATGCTGGTCCCTTTCACTGAAGCTATTCAGCAGCCTGCAGGAAAAAAGTGAAACTGACAAGAATCGCATTTTCAGAAAGGACCCAAATGTTGGTAGAGCTGCATCTTATCTGGCTATAGTCCATCCCGATTATGTGCATTGCTGTCATGGGCACCACTGAGGACTCCCTGAAATGTGTTCTTGCCTTTAATAAAGTGTTTGACTACAGTGCAGTAACAAACCTATTCTCTTATACCAGATACCCACACAGTTGCAATCCTCCTCAACCAACACAAAATTCTCTTCTTAAGGGACATTTTATAAACAAGGTGATAGACTTGGATATGTTCAACTGGTTTAGAAATCTGATTGGCTCAGAATCTGCTGTTTTCAAATGTTATTTTGAGAAAACAGTATTGTTCACTGATTTACAGAGCTCTTAGTTCACATTCCTGCTAGCATGAACTGCTTAGCTCCCTGGATCTATAACTTCCCACGAAGAGGCCCCTTCATTTCCCCTAGAAGAACTTACGCATGTTTTATGATCAACCATTCTCTCCTTTTCAGCCAGACCTTTTCAACATCCAGCATTAATCACACCCTTTACTTTCCCATATTTTGAGTATTTTCCATGGAAGAGAAAAGACAAAGAGTGCAGCCTCAAAAGGGGGCCACATGTCACGGCCTCCCAGCGAGACAACAAACAGATGACAACAGTAGCGAGGAAGGGGCATCCAGAAAACCCTGGTGCTCATCCCACATTTTGACCAGAAGAATGGACTAGGCTTTGGTTGGACTATTCTAATCATCAGGGGGATTCCACTGGCTCCTAAAATATATGTAAGAACTGATGAGAGCTGTTCACCTTCCCCAGAGGTGGGTGGACGTCAAAGAAGAAGGTCCGGTTAATGTAGTAACTTCCCATCTTCCCAAAATGGGTTTCATCCCAACTAAAAAAAGAAAAGATAGATGTACTCAGGAACTGGAAATAATCAAACATCCATAGAGGTCTATTTTGCTAATGACTAGCTTTTGCCACTTTTAGACTGGACAAGTGCATAATAATCTACGTGGGATTACATGTTAAATCCATTAGGAAGCTGGAGCTAATGGAAAATGGGTTAGCCTCCTTATTAATCAGGGTATCTCTCCATGAATAAACCAATGCTCCAGAACCTACACTGGCTGCCAAGTCCAATTTAAAGGTGTTAGTTTTGTTCCCTAAACCCTAATGGCCTGGGAGCTGCTTACCTAAGATACACTTCTCTCCCTGTACCATACTGAGGGTTAAATTGGAGCCTGCTCAGTATATAATAGAGAACATTTTTGGCATGGCAAAAGTAATGCACATTTGAAAACATAATTCCCACTATACAAATAAAATGATGGGGTCAAAATTAGCTGTTACCACTCAAGAAAGAGATCTTGGAGTCATGGATAGTTCTCTGAAAACATCCACTCAATGTGCAGTGGCAGTCAAAAAAGCAAACAGAATGTTGGGAATCAGTAAGAAAGGGATAATAATACAGAAACTATCATATTGTCATGGTACGCCCACATCTTGAATACTGCGTGCAGATGTGGTCGCCCCATCTCAAAAAAGATATACTAGAACGGGAAAAGGGCAACAAAAAAAGGGGTGGGGGGTATGCAACAAAAATTATAAGGGGTATGGAACTGCTTCCATATGAGGAGAGATTAATAAGACTGGGACTTTTCAGCTTGGAAAAGAGATGACTAAAGGGGGATATGACAGAGGTCTATAAAATCATGATGGGTGTGGAGAAAGTAAATTAGGAAGTGTTATTTATTCTTTCTCATAACACATGATCTAGGGGTCAGCAAATGAAATTAATAGGCAACAGGTTTAAAACAAACAAAAAAGGAAGTATTTTTCACACAACACACAGTCGACCTGTGGAACTCCTTGCTAGAGGATGTTGTGAAGGCCAAGACTATAAGGGTTCAAAAAAGAACTAGATAAATTCATGGAGGATAGGTCCATCAATGGCTATTGCCAGGATGGGCAGAGATGGCCCTAGTCTGTTTTCCAGAAGCTGGGAATAGGCGACAAGAGATGGATTGCTTGATGATTACCTGTTCTGTTCTTTCCCTCTAGGGCACCTCGCATTGGCCACTGTTGGAAAACAGGATACTGGGCTAGCTGAACCTTTGGTCTGACCCAGTATGGCCGTTCTTATGTAAAGCCTGTAAGAGCAGGCATATGGGGACCGATGAGGTGACTGGGAACAGTAATTTTGAAGGGAAATGTGAAGGGTGAGAAATTTTGATTTATAATATATTTGTTTACTAGTGATTAGCATATGCATGAAAATGTGCTGCCTCAGTTTCTCCATCTGTAAAATGGGGATAATGATCCCCATTTGTAATGTGCTTTAAGATCTACTGATTAAAAGCACTATATAAGAGCTAGGTATTATAATTTTAGTTTTTATTAATAGGAAAAGCATCTAGAGTCCAAGAGAGTTATTCTTTTATGTTTTTGTCTTTACATCAAAATAATAAACTAACTAAACAGTTAATCACCAGGAACATGGCCTAGCTTCATGTTCATACAGCACTTTGGCCTTGTCTACACTAGCGCAATTTACCGTGTTATGTAATATTTATTCCCCGTCGATTGAAGTGCACTTGGCATCCACACTCACAAGTGCTTCAGTCAGTCTCCACAGGGACTAAACAGAATGATGGAGAATGTCTCTTTCCAGACAATTATTCCAGAGCCAGTGTGGACAGGAGAGCCTTCAAAAGCCTCCCACTATAGGAGATGGTAGGAGCCTCCTTTCCCAGCTCCTCACTACAGCTGCCTCATTCACCAAGCTTACTATAATTTGCTGGCTAAATTTCCTCTCTGCCACGCCCCCCTTGTCTTGACCCCTTCAGCTATAACCCCCACACCCGCATCCCCAGGGCCGGATTTCCAATTAGGCACACAAGACACGTGCCTAGGGGGGCTGGCATTCCAGGGGCACCTAAAAGTAAAGGGTGGGTTAAACGTTTATTTGTTTTACGGAAAACACAAAGTTCATCTATAGGCCGAAGGACTGCTGAAGATGCAGCGCCTAGGGACATTTAAGGTGTAAATCCGGCCCTGAGCATCCCGAACCTGGAAGTGTCCCTGCTGCCCATAACCTCCACGTTATCCCTCCCCACCCCGCCGGGCTCACATCCTCAGTCAGCGAAGCAATGGGGCTTGACCAGCTGCGGGATGTTGAACCGCTACGTGACGACTGTCAGCCCCTCACATCCCCTGCCCCACCCCCAGGGCCCAACCAGCCACGGGCAGGCGCCTGTCGCTGCCCGCGGATCGCTGCCGTGCTTAGGCGCAATCGGGGCGGGGGGGGGGGCGGTAGAGAAAGCAGCCCCAGCCCCAGCCGGGCCGCGAGCGCCTCACCAAACCCCCACTGGCCACGCGGGCTAGCGCCAGCGAAACCCACCACTCGGACCCTCCCGCAAAGAAGCCCCGCCCCCTCCCCCGCGGCCTGACCGCCAGCCCCACCCCCGTTGCCATAGCGTCGCGGCCCCTCACCAGACGTGCGGCGGCTCGGACAGGCGGTGGAAGCGGGAGGCGAAGCTGAGGAGGGTGACGAAGGCCAGCGGGGCCCAGACCCCGCCTGGAGCTTCCAGGGGAGCCCAGGCCCGCGGAGGGGGAGAGGGACGGCTCGGCTCGCCCGCCGGCCTGCGGGGTCGCCGCTGCCGGAGCCCCCCGCAGCGCGGGCCCGACTCGGGCTGGCAGCACCCCGCCGCCAGCGTCATCCGCGCTCCGACACGAGGGAGGCGCCGGTGGCCGGGCACCACCGCGCACAGCACCAAGGGAAAGGGAGTCCGGGCCGCAGAGCATGGCGGGAAGCGGAGTCTGGTTCCCTCGCCGGGCATGGTGGGAGATGTAGTTCCTCGCGCCGGGGGCCGAAGCGTCACCGCGGCTCAGGTGGCAGGTTCAAGCGAGAGCCGGGTCGGAAATGCCACAGAGCGCGCCCTGCGCAGCGTGAAAGGAAACGGCGGGGACCCGTCACCTCCCCGCGCGCCCAGCCGGCACCCCGAGATTGCCCTGCCTGACCCCCCCCGTTCACCGACAGACACCTCTAGACATCCCAAGACTGCCCTACGTGCCCACCTCCCCCATTCACTGACAGACATCCCGTGACTGCCCTGCCCACCCTCCCATTCAGACACCCCGAGATTGCCCTGCCTGCCTCCCCTTCACTGACAGACATCCCGTGACTGCCCTGCCCACCACTCCCCATTCACTGACAGACACCCTGTGACTGAACTGCCCGCCCACCCCCATTCACAGATAGACAAACCACGACTGCCCTGCCTCTCCACTTCCCATTCACTGACAGACCCCCAGACACCCCAACACTGCCCTGCCCCCTTCACTGACAGACACCCTGTGACTGCCATTCCCCATTCACTGACAGAACTCCACAGACATCCCGTGACTGCCCTGCCTACCAATCACTCCCACATTCACTGACAGACTCCCACATCCAGTGACTGCCCATCAGTGACTCCCCCCCACACCCATTAACTGACAGACTCCCCCGCACACACCCAATGACTGCCCTGCCCCTCACCGCACATACCCACTGCCCCCATTTGCTGACAGACCACCCAATGACTCCCCTGCCCACCCACTGGGCACACCCACTGCCTGCCATTCACTGACAGACCACACATACACACACACAGTGACTGCACTGTCTACAAACAGCCACAGCTCATGTACATCATGCCCACACCTAGTGCCCGCCCCCATTCACTGACAGACCCCACCCACCACATACATCTGGTGTGCACACAGTGTGCGCACATCCATTGCCCATCCCCATTCACTGACAGACACACCCAGTGACTGCCCTTCCACTGCTCACACACACAGCTGCTGGGCACACACAGCACTTGCAATATTTGTCATGCCTATACAATGGTGCTTAATTGATCAGATTCAATTTTATTGCTAGCCAGGTTCACTTTCTGGTTCTTTACCTGTATGCTGCACTCTCTGCATTGCAATTACTTTGGGGGGGGGGGATGTTTAAATTCAAATTCTTCACTGAAATTTTAGAAAATAATATTAAAACATTTCAGTTAATATGAGGATTTAAAAAATCTTTTCCTCCTTACAAAAATCTAAACTTTGGGCATAAACTAGCCAATTGAGATGCTTTAAGACCTGGAAAAGCAGCTAGAACTACTACTCCCAGAATCCCAGCAACTGGCAGCATGGCTGGGGCCTCATGTGAATGAGACTGGCAGCAGTAACAGACCTATAGAGAGCACGTGAAGGAGGCTGTGTCAGCCAGTGCAATGTTAGCATCTGTGTGACTTCTGTTCATTCAGAGGCGGAGAGACAGAACAGAGCGGTGCTGAAAGTGCAAGATGAGTGCTGCCTTAGTGAAGGTATTTACTGCTACAGGGCCCAGAGACAGAGAGCAGAATTGGGGCTTTTTCTTTCACTCTGGCTGCACAAAGAGAAGCTCTTACTTCTCCTACAGATAATGCAGCTTCAGCTGGAGGATCTTAAGGTTAATTCAGAAGCATCTGAAGTGCAGACTGTGCTTTTTCAAATAGGGATGTAGCTACCCTCAACCCCACATGTTTTATGGAAGATGGGTTGAAATTGTGGCCCCTTGATCAGATGTAAGTAATCCGTGGATTCAGTTTAAACCCTGAGTCCTGCAATATCCCACATACAGGCAGACCCCTATGCCTGTACAGAGCCACACTGACTGCACTTGGGCTTTGCCCAGGTAGAACAACTTGAAGGATTGAGACCTAAGTTAGTATCTGGTGCCTCCACATAGATGTCTCCAGGAAAGAAATAAACTGCTTAGTATAAGGACAGCTGCAGAACACAGAAAATTTTGTAAGTGATCAGATCGGCTTTCAACATCTAACAAGAGGCATCCCCCCAGATGGCATGTGTGTTTGTGGGGAGGGCAAGGAATTTGGATCAGAGTTTAAACAGCATGTGCAGCAAATGAAATAGAACCATCATAAATTACAATATATGGTATATTAGTCTCCCACAACCTATAGTAGTGGAACCCTCTGCACATGTATTGGGTGGTTAAGAGCGGAGTGATTTTGGGTTATGAGCTGATAAATGATAATTAACAAAATACAGATGGAGAGTTTCGGCTGGGTTTCTAACCCTTCGGCATACCTCACAGGACCACTTTTTCCATTTCTAGTCCTATGTTATCCATTGTTGTCTGGGCTGCTGTCTTGAGGCAGGTAATGCCCACAGGGCTGTTATAATGTTGCGGTCAGAATCAACAGATGGCCAGGATGCAAAGAGCCTGGTCGGGCTGATACAGCCTGAGACATATAGGTATCAGTGAGAGCCTGGGAAGAAGTGACACTTGGAGGAAACAGGGTTACAGGGACATGCTGCCCATGGTGCTCCATGTTGAGCCAAGAAGTTCCCACTGAGCCTCAAGAAGTATTGCTGTATAATTGAACCTATATGCTGTGTGGGCTGTATGCCCCTATTAAAGATGTAAGCTACTGCAATATGATCCATTTTAAGCCATGTAGGATGTAGCCTTCAACTGCCCCCAGCTGTCAATGTGATCCTCAGCTGAGCAAAGTTAGGGGGGAAGAGTCAGGTTATTAGCCAGTGAAATGAGCTCCGAGGTATAAGTGTCACCAGGATCACTCCTTCCAGCTGATGCTCTCTAAGCATTTTACAGCCATCAGTGCATTAAGCCTCACAGCCTCCTAGTTAAGTAAGAGTTCTCATCCCCCATTTCACACATAGAGGTTATGTCCTGGGTCATGTACTGCAACACCACAAGCAGAGCCAAGCATAGAACACAGGAGTCCTGACTCCGTCAGCTGCTCTGTTCTTTATCCATACTACTCCCAACCTCCTCACTAAAGAATGAGATGTGAATAGAAACAACAGTCAATGGTTCTTCTCAGTGAAGGAGTTTAGGACTCTTCATGAGGAGAGAGTAATATGATTGGGACTTTTCAGCTTGGAAAAGAGATGACTAAGGGAGGATATGATAGAGGTCTATAAATTCATGACTGGTGTGGAGAAAGTAAATAAGGAAGAACTAGGGACAAATGAAATTAATAGGCAGCAGATTTAAAATAAGCAAGAGGAAGTATTTCTTCACATAACTCACAGTCAACCTGTGGAACTCTTTGCCAGAGGATGTTGTGAAGGCCAAGGCTGTAACAGGGTTCAAAAAAGAACTAGATATATTCATGGAGGATAGGTCCATCAATGGCTATTAGTCAGGATGGACAGGGATGGTGTCCCTAGCCTCTGTTTGCCAGAAGCTGGGGATGGATCAGTGGATAATTACCTGTTTTGTTTATTACCTCTGGGGCACCTAGCATTGGCTACTGTTGGAAGACAGGATACTGGGCTAGATGGACTTTTGGCTTGACCCAGTATGGCTGTTCTAATGTTCTTAGGGTCATGAATCTTCTTTGGAATCTGATCGCACTTCTGCACACCCAGCATGTGACTGGGAGGACTTACTGCCCCGGATCTTCTCTTCACCATCACTTTTTGGGCCTTTTCACATCTCTGGAAGGCAGTGTTAACTTGAGCTGGCACTGGCTCAAGTGCCAAAGGGTCCCAAGTTGTAAAGTAAATGTGATGCTTTCCCCTCATCCCCAGGGGCCTTGAAACTAAAGAGCAAGGTCATCAGCATGACACAATTTACATGCATGACACTCAGTTAGCAAATGATCAGGCATACTGCAGAAACAGAGAGAGAGAGAGAGCAAGCAGGAAAATGTCTTCCTTGACTGGGAGGTTACAGCCAGGGAACAGAGAAGCAAAGGGAAGATATTGCCAACTCCAAGTGTTCAAAAATTCTGAGCAAGATCCCAAAGAAAGATGAACAAAATTAATACATTTTGGATGCTTTTTCTTTGCCTTCTGGTTTTTGATTCCTTAGAGTTTGTGGTTTCCAGTTTTGATCTGCAATCATGACAGCTAGAAAGTTACTATTTTTTTAAATGAAAGCTGAGATTTTCACATAATCTAATGACTCCAGGAGCTGAGGCTTTGTGAAAAATCACCAAACAGCATGAATGTCACAGGAAAATCCCAAGAGCTGGCAACATTGCAGCATTCCTTCCTTCCCTGCCCTCCTACCAACCATTCCTCTGGTGAACTTTGGCTGGGATAATTCAGTCAAACATTTACATTCTGTAAACAGTTTAAATTAATCTAATATTTAGCTGTGAAAATGATTTAGTACTTAGATACAGGACTGGAACTCAGGACTCCTGGATTTTAGTTCTGGTTCTGCCATTGTCACACGAGTCAATGGACAAATCACTTTCTCTCTCTGATAGTGTTCCCTTCTGTAAAATGAGGATATCATGACACTGCATTTTTTTTGGGGGGGGGGGAGAAGGGGTGGCATACGAGAGTTAATTTTTTAACATTTTTGAAGTGCTTTGGCGTCCTCCAAAGGCAGGAGCTAGAGGTTTGTTATTCGTTAATAAGAAATACAAACAAGCCATGTGTACAGAGGAGGAACCTTTGTTACATGTTATACACAGTGTATTCCAAGTTTTACACAAAGACAGTCCCTGCTTGGAGGAGCTGGCATCTTTGTGATAACAGAAACTCTGTTTTTAGAACCTGCTCTCCTTTTATTATCCCACCGAGTTGTATTTCTGCACTGGCAGCTTCCAGCAACCCAAAAGTCTCTATAAATATTTTACCCATCGTGACAAAAGCCAGATATCACAGTGATGGGCTCAATATAGCAACCTAAAGAGAATTATAGGTGTGGCTAGTACAGGGTATTCACTCACAACAGAACTGAATCCTGCCAGCTCCTGTTGCTGAAACTTCTGAACACAGGAAGCTATTAAGAATTTGGATTCTGGCACTTTTCTCATTGGCTGTAGGGACCGAGCCTTCCCCCACCCCAGCTGAGTGAAAAGAGAAGGCAGGGTCATGTGGCTTTCACTCTTTGGAGTGAACTGCACACACAGACCATGGATTCCTCTGGAAAGGTGAGAACCAACGGGTTTAAAGCAGCTGTGGGAGCTTTCTTGGTTCCATAGTTAAACTGGAGATTAGCTTCCCTGCACTCAGTACTTGCTTGGATGAGTAACTTCTGTTCCATATTGAAAACATGCATGTCGGTGAATGGCTCAAAGGGCTGGCTCATACCACTGAGGTTTCAAATGGAGCTTCTCATTGTACACAAAAGGGAATTTTACTTTAAAAATCAATGTCATGATAAAGAAGCCCACATCTGAAAGTGACAAGGATGTTTTGAAGGGCCCAAACTCACCTGACTTGTATCCTTGTTGAAATGCATCAAACTTGGTCAAATTTTCAAAGGAGCAGAGGAAAAATGCTTCCCTCTAGCTGAGAAACTGCTACCATTACCATCATGTAATCCACTCTCCTCTCTCTCCCCTCAGCCAGTTCTTTATAGTTATTTCCGAAGTTCCTGCTCCTGGAGAGTGAGAATTGGTAAGATCTGGTGTTTACTACTTCTTTGCTCTGGCACTGTCAACCCACCACCTTTCTTGAACACTAATTCCCTTCACTAACCAAACTAATCAGTGACCCACTGAGTGAGTGAGTGAGTGAGAGAGATCAGCAGACATGCAACTGAAAAGACAGTGATGGTTTCCTCCACTTTTCCAGCGGGAGGAGAGAGCAAACACCAGAATCAATTTGCATTTGGCGAAGGGGAAGGCTAGTAGGGGATCAAGAGAATAACCATTTCATGTACCCAGTTGAAACTCCAGTGACCATGGACAGACAAGATACTTACTGGGGCTGAAGGAATATTGGTGTGTGTTTGTTACAAACTTTTAACCATCTGCCCACCTTTGGTAGTATAAGGGGGGATCTCTGCTGTCCTTTCTTCTCAGCCCTGGACTCTCAGTCGTGGGCTCTGGGTGACTCCCCCTGCCCTCAGTAGTTCCTTTTTTATTTTCAGACGCTCTATGGAGCTAGTTAGAGGGACATATTTCCTTCATAAAGCTAATGTAATCCAGATTCCCACATTCTTTAAAGAGGCTCCGTGTTCTGTGCTTGCAGTGATACCGCCTCAAAGTGTGTGATCTTATCTGATCCTGCAAGTTAAGCAGGGTGGGGCCTGCTCATCACTTGGATGGGGACAAGTTAAAACAAGGTTTTGCCAGAAGTTACATGGGTGACACAGAGCAATCTCCCTTGTGAGCTACCACTGACCCTACACCCCAAGGTGCTTTAATGCAGGGCATAATGGGGGTTATTCAATAGGATGTTAGTACTGACCTCCGTGCCCCAGCAAAGTACTAGGGGGCACTGTATGACAGAGCCACTGTCTTCCATAGCAGATCTAAAACAACCATTCTGAAGGGAAAGGGGTTTCTTGTTTTGTTTTTAAATACTCTTCAATTGAGATTTTAAAACTTTATGAGCCCATTTTCCTTGGAACCTAGCTTTTTAGCTCTCTCTGCCTCTCAATCTATATGTTGTGTTCCTCTAGCACTGGCTCTGAAGGGAATCGCCTATGATCAGGAACCAGTGAACCTCCTGAAGGATGGAGGACAGCAGGTAAGAGGGCAACTACAGTCAGCCTCTCCCTAAGCTGGCACACAGGCTAAGCCTAGGCATCACTAGAAATTTGGCAGCCCAGGATTATCAGAGGGCAAAGGAAATGGGATATATGTTGCCTGCTGTAAAAAGAGCTGTCCAATAGCTCTCTTCAGACTTTTTTCCATAGCTAACTGTAGCCTCTGACCTCTTCAGCATCCCCAACTCCCTTAAGTATAGGCTGAGATCAAGAAAATGTCCTGAAACTCACATGTATCAGGCCATAGAGTTGTCTCTCCATGGGAAGGGGCATTAGCACTATTGCTTGGGGGACTTAAAACTAGAACTGGACAGCATGCTAGGGAAGCTCACCGTCCTGCCTTAGCCTCCAGGAGGGAGGACGAGAGAGAGAGATTGCATAAGACCTAATAGTTTCTTTCCCTCTCTAATGTCTGTGACATTATCCAGGAGGCTGCAGGGAGGCTCTCTGCCTTCAATCGGCATGGGGGAACCAAGCTCATCATCAAGTGCTGCGATTTCCAAGTATAGTCCTGGGTTGTGGATGGGTGGCACCAGAAAATGGAGGCATTTGTCCCGGAGATGCCTGAACCACATTGTAGGGAGTGACTGCCTTGGGCACAGTAGCCCTGTAGCACCACTGAGGCAGAAATCTGCATATGACAACATGGCCAAGCCAAGAATAAGGATAGTGCAATTGCACTGCTGCGGGGGATCAGGGATGGATCTTGCCTTGTCACTTGGATCAATGGATAATGTGGGGGTAATGCACGTGGAGTGACCCCTAGGCCCCAACAGGAGTGCCTCCTGGTGCCCAAAGGAGAGTCATAATGTACCAGGACCATTAGGCCTGAAGCAAAGGAAGGAGCCAAGGAGAAAACATAGTGGAGAAGCCTCAGGGTTTCAGCAGTATCAGAGAGAGCAAGACTGCAAATCCATTTGCAAGCAGGGGAATTGGGAGACAGGGTAGCTCCCACCAAACAATCGGACATGGAGAGATAATATACAGAGCTGTGAGACCCTTGAGGCTTTCCCTTTCAGAGAGGAATACTTGGCTCTTCTTGGCTATAGTATAGTAATCCCAGTGTCTTCTCTCCAGTTTTCTACTGAATTCCAGGTAGTAAATCCAATGCAGCAGGTCCCAGCCCTGAAAATCGATGGCGTCACCTTGTCTCAGTCGGTGAGTAGCCCAGCCAGCTCTGCCCATTAATCATTTACTGTGTCCTGCTGCCCAGAGGGAGGACTTTGCCCCCACAGAGTGCCTGGTCTCTGAGTTAGAGAGCACAGGGTATCATTCTGTGATGAGGAAAATGGTCCCGGCTGGGAAGCGTATACCAAGCAGCGCCTGCAGGGAGACTGCCAGGGGAAGTTGTCTTCCTCTTCAGATGGGAGATTACTCTGTATCAGGCACAAAGGCACCTGACATTAGTGATCACAGCTCAGATGCTGTCTCAGAATCCCACCTTTTACTGGGTAATTTGTCTTTCCGTAGCTTCTGCCAGGGAGAGAGATCACTTGTGAGATGAGCCAGGAGGGCTCCAGGTTCCTCAGGGAGTTTTTCCACATCACAAAAGCACACTGTTTGGCATGGTGGTAACCTCTGATCAGAAGAGGCCAGACCTCAGACAGGAAATCTGTCTTTAACTCCTGCTCCTTTGCTATGCAATGGGGCTGGCCTCTCCTCCCCAGCCCTCCAGTATCTTACCCATGTCTCCTTGCAGCTGGCCATAATTCAGTACCTGGAAGAGACCCGGCCTAACCCCAGGCTGCTGCCTCAAGATCTGAAGAAGAGAGCCCAAGCCCGGATGATTTCGGATCACATTGTTTCTGGCATTCAGCCCCTGCAGGTACTGTCCTGTCATAAACAGGCGGATGGGACTTCCAGATTGGGTTTGTAGCTGTCTGTGGCTCTCAAACATTGTGACAGTATCATTCTGTTGAAACTGTTGATGGGAAATAGAGTGGCAGATCTCACACAGACATTGGCATAGGATCGAATCCAGACTCAGCATGGTTAGCAGCATCTACCTGTTTTGCTGATTGAAAACAGCAAGGCACTTCCTGCAAAGACCACATGCTCTGACCCTGAGAAACATTCATGGTTCCCAGGGCTTCTATTCGAGAAGAGCTGAATTTACAAGCAGCGCAGCAGGTTCCAGTTGCAGGGGTTAGTGCCTCTTGGCAGGGGGGAGAGAGAGCTCCAGGCAAAGAAGTGTGATGTTTTGTAAGAAGGGCAATTCTGAGAAAGAACTGGGATGTGTGGGCCTGTGATTCAGAGACTGAAACCTCGAGTGACCCAAAGGGCTGAGTTTGGGACTGGGGATTAGGGACTGACACCGTATAAGCCCAGCTGACCCTGTTTTGTGTATGACCTGTGGCACGGTTCAGCCTGCTGGATCAAGCTAATTTGGGGACTCTTTGGCCTCCTCAGAACCTGAGTTTCCTGAAACAAGTGGGAGGAGAGAAGAAGCTGGAATGGGCTCAAGGCTCTATCGCACGTGGTTTCCAAGGTACGTCTGCATTGAATTAATCAGCACATCTGCAAATAGCACAAAGCACTGGATGAGCAGTCTGTTGGGCAATCTGCTCCAAAGTCCTGCTTTCTACTGCACAGGAACAGAACAATAAATCATCTAGTCTGGTATCATCTGCTGCCATGCTGGAGCAGACCAAGGGCCCATCTAACCCAGAATCTCACATCTGGCAGTGGTTAAATATCTGATGCTCCAGAGGGAGCTCAATGCTGCATCTGGAAGCAGGGAGGAGGGGATTCAATGATGAGGTTCAATAAGGATAAGTGCAGGGTCCTGCACTTAGGACGGAAGAACCCAATGCACCGCTACAGACTAGGGACCGAATGGCTAGGCAGCAGTTCTGCGGAAAAGGACCTAGGGGTGACAGTGGACGAGAAGCTGGATATGAGTCAGCAGTGTGCCCTTGTTGCCAAGAAGGCCAATGGCATTTTCGGATGTATAAGTAGGGGCATAGCGAGCAGATCGAGGGACGTGATCGTTCCCCTCTATTCGACATTGGTGAGGCCTCATCTGGAGTACTGTGTCCAGTTTTGGGTCCCACACTTCAAGAAGGATGTGGATAAATTGGAGAGAGTCCAGCGAAGGGCAACAAAAATGATTAGGGGTCTAGAACACATGACTTATGAGGAGAGGCTGAGGGAGCTGGGATTGTTTAGCCTGCAGAAGAGAAGAATGAGGGGGGATTTGATAGCTGCTTTCAACTACCTGAAAGGGGGTTCCAAAGAGGATGGCTCTAGACTGTTCTCAATGGTAGCAGATGACAGAACGAGGAGTAATGGTCTCAAGTTGCAGTGGGGGAGGTTTAGATTGGATATTAGGAAAAACTTTTTCACTAAGAGGGTGGTGAAACACTGGAATGCGTTACCTAGGGAGGTGGTAGAATCTCCTTCCTTAGAGGTTTTTAAGGTCAGGCTTGACAAAGCCCTGGCTGGGATGATTTAACTGGGAATTGGTCCTGCTTCGAGCAGGGGGTTGGACTAGATGGCCTTCTGGGGTCCCTTCCAACTCTGATATTCTATGATTCCTTCCTGACCCCTGTAGCAGTCCGCTCACACCCTGACACACAAGGACTGACAACACTTAACCTTTTATCCCAGCTGTCACAGCAGATGCCTTTTACATTCATATAAACCAGAGATCAGCAAGTCCCCTGGCGAGCTGGGCCGTTTTGTTTACCAACCGTGTCCGCAGCTCCCACTGGTTGCAATTCGCCGCTCCAGGCCACTGTGGGCTGTGTGAAGTGGTGGCCAACACATCTCTCGGCCCGCGCCACTTCCCACAGCCCCCACCCATTGGCCTGCAGTTGCGAACTGCGGCCAGTGGGAGCTGCAATCGGCTGAACCTGCGGACGTGGCAGGTAAACCGGCCCGGCCCGCCAGGGGGCTTACCCTGGCAGGCCGCATGCCAAAGTTTGCCGATCCCTGATATAAACTGTACGACCCTTTACTTTAAACGGTACTAAGCTTGTTGCCTCAATATCCATGGCAGAGTATCCCACAGGTTAATTCTAGTAGGCAAAAAATACCATTTCTATTTCCTCTTCAATAGGTTGCCTTTAATTTCACCGTGGGCCTCCTTGTCCCAGTGCCCTGGGATAGGACTATAGGAGTCTGACTGGCCCTCCCTGCTTCACTCAGTTTATACCCCTGTATCCTGAACCTTCCTGTTCTTCTTCTTTCCAGTTCTGCTCTTTAGTCGCTTTGTGTGGAGAAGCCCCTCTCCCTGCCACTAACAGCGGAGGCAAGGGGCAGAGGGGAAGAATAGGAAACCTATTTTGTCCTTTTGAAACCATCTTGGGTCCAAAATGGCTGAGTCCCAAAGCACCCTCCTTCCTCAGCTCCAGTGAGAGTCTCCTTCCCTGTAAGTGCTGCCCTGGGTTGCTTTCTTCTAGCCCAACTCGGGGTACTTTGGTGCACAACACTCAATCCAAAAGGCTGCCGGCAATCTAGCTCTTCAGCACACCCCTTTAAGCTGCTGAAAGAGGGAGTTGCTGATTCCTGACGCAGTGTACTGTCTCTTTCTGCAGCTCTGGAGCAGATCCTGCAGCACACAGCTGGGCGCTATTGCATTGGGGATGAGGTAAGGAGATCAGACAGAGCACAGCTTGCAGAAGGCACCGACAGCCTAGCATTTATCTGGGACTGGGTTAAAACATCTCCCACACAGTGGTGGAGGTCAAAGGCTTTGGGCATAGAGGCTGTGGAGTCCCTTGAGGTATATGCAGACAGAGCATTCCCTGGGCCTCATCATAGAAACCAGGGCTGCATGCATCCTACTCAACCCATTGCCTGCTCTCCTTCCCTAGCTCCTTCTCCTTTGGGGAGTAGCCATGTTATTGCATTTCACACAGGAGGAGGACAGCTCTCCATTTCCCAGCTCTGTGGGGATGGCAAAAAGCCATGGGCTATAAGAAACATTTGCTTGGCCCTGTCCGTATGCTATCTATCTGATTAGATAAGATAATGGGAATTGGCTGGAGATTGGGAAATAGGATACAGTGTCTTTCATCTCATGGGCCTCGGATCCAAACTAGCCTATCAATAGAAACACAGCTGTTTTCATTCACCAGCAGGTAAATGGCCCCCTGTGTGAAATGACTTGGTGACACCTCAGTCCTGTCACTGGTGGGTAGGCATCTGCAGCACAAACCAGCCAACTAAAGTCTAAGGACTAAAACCCCTTTGAGGTGGCCACACCTGGTCCAAGCAGTGGCTGTGGTGATGCCCATTGACACAGGGCTCAGTCTCCAGCCCTGCCACGTCAGCACCAAGTTATCACTAACATTTTAAAGAAAACCAAACAGCCTAACCAGTACAGCTCATTTTGCTACCATTTCCAGCCAGAGCAGAAAGTATGAGAGACTTCAGGTGGCTGCCCAATCCCTTAGCTTAACGTCCTAGTCCTGCAGTTGCTTCACCCCACTAACCCATGGGAGGAAGCTTGGTTTGGTAGCTAAGGCACTGGACTGGGACCTGATAAGTCTTCAGCTACGTTAAGGGCATAATAAAGAAGCTGTTCTTAATGTCCACTGAAGGTAGGATGAGAAGTAATGGGCTTAAACTGCAGCAAGGGAGATTTAGGTTAGATATAAGGGGAAAATTTCAAACTATAAGGGTAGTTAAGTTCTGGAATAGGCTTCCAAGGGAGGCTGGGGAATCCCCATCACTGGAGTTTTTAAGAATAGGCTAGACAAACACCTGTTAGGGATAGTTAAGTTCACTTGTTCCTGCCTCAGTACAGGGGGATGGACTTGATGACCCCTCGCCTCCCTTCTAGTCCTATATTTCTATGAAGAAATCTGGGTAAATTCCTTGCTCTGCCACAGTGTCATTAAATGACCCTGGGCAAATCACTACTCTCTCTATGCCTCAGTTCTCCATCTCTAAAATGGAAATAGTAGTACTTTTCCCCACACTCTTTGTCTGTCCTATTTAGGTTGTAAGCTCTGTAGTGCAGGGACTGTCAAACTGTGTGTGTACACATACAGCCAAGCACAATGGGTCTTTGGTCTTGGTTGGTTCCACTTGGAGCTATTGCAATGCAAATAATAAGCGAGGTTCACTTATCACGCATCCAACTCTCCATCTCCAACTGGCTGTCTCCTCCCTCTTTGGAGGGGCACCTGGATTTGTTTGCACAGTGGCAGGGTTGCCCTAGGAATCTCATGGTGCGGGGCTGAACTAATGAATTGGTCTCCATGGTGCATAATCATGCAGCTCTCCTGGGGCCAACGGCAAGCAGCTGCAAGTGATTCCCAGGGTTCCATTCTGCATTGTTCCCACGCCCAGCAACTGAGCCAGCTTGCAGAAAGAGAGACCTTCTGTGCAGCCCTGGAGCTCCCAATTTGACCCTTTCATGCTGCATGGAAGCTGGTAAAAGAATAATTGCCCTCCCTCCAATGTGGAAGGAGCAAACAAGCTTAGTTTCAACATGGCAACACCCATCCTAGTAGAAAGTGGACTGAGAGCCTACAAGCCCCCAAAAGGCATCAGAAAGTAACAGTTTATGGTCACTACTGTTCCAGATAGCCCTGGGGCAGCTGCCCTAGAGGTGAAAAGCTTTGTATCCCACCCCCACGCCAGTCAGGCCCCTCCTCTTTCATTTTGTGTAACACCTGGTGCCAGTGGAAAGTAAACACTGAACATTAACATGTACAATCATTTTCATCTGTCAGCAGGTCACCTCTCCTGCACTGGCATGGATTGGGTTTGGGGTAGCTGTACTTTGCAATTGAAACAACCACCCACTGTTGATTCCAGGCCCTGAAAGGAGCTGGACTGGGAGGCAGCCTCCTGCTCTTCATAGGGCCCACTCTAGCATCAGAACTGTACAGAACAGGGTGAGTGCTGAGAAGGGCCTTTTGGGAAAAAAACAGGCCTGCCAAGCTGTAGCTCCAGCCAGTGCACTAAAGGGCAGTAGGGTGGGTTTTGAATTGCTTTGACCAGTTTTCTTTGCTCCATTGCAGGTTTCCATAGCTGACTTGTGCTTGGTCCCTCAGGTTTACAATGCTGAGAGGTAAATGACGGCTGGTCAGCTCCATTAGACCCCATTTCTTGCACGAGAGGCCCAGTTGATCTCTCTCCTGCTGATGCTCAGGCCAATTGGGATAGCACTCCCCACCACCCAGCTTACAGCGCCATCAGGGTATTCTTCTCACCATGATTTTTTCCATTTCCTAACCCCTGTATCTTTTGAGCGCTCACAAAAACGAGGAGCTGGGATTTCTTCCCTAAGACCCCCAGAGCAAGACTGGCAGCTACCCTCACATGAGCTTAGACAGGCCAGATTCTGTGTCCCTACCTATGCAGAAAGCATAGGAAACACAGCCTCTTAGGGCTAGTAGAAGCCCTTATTGAAAGGGTCTCTTGCAGCCAGAACTGCAGTGTTGCACACTCTAGGAGAGAGAAGATACTTGGATACCATAATGACTGGCAACCTTATTTAAAAAAAAAAAAAAAGGGGGGGGGGGGGGAGGCTGTAACACCAGTGCGGGCATCCACTCTAGGAAAAAAGGTATGTTTCTTGCCACATGCTAACCAACACAATGTAACACACAGGAGGTAAAATCCTAGTGAAGACAAGGCTGCTTTCACACATTAGCAGGCCAAGGTAGATCCTAGGGATGAGCTTAGCTAACACATGATCAGAACACACCTTTTTTCCTGGTGCAGACTAGGCCCCACTCTGCCAGATGATTCTCCCCTGCTTGACTTTTCTGGAGCTGTGTGCTGATCATGTTGCCCTGGGTCCGTGGAGCAGGGATTCTGTAGAACTCCCCCTTAGTGCTTGCTGCTGGACTGTCTAGCTGGGAGTATCTGACTGCATCTCTCTGCCCTTTGTAGATTTAAAGTGGACCTGGCTCCATACCCCACGATAACCAGAATCAATAAAGCCCTTCTGGAGCTAGAGGCATTCCAAGTGAGCCACCCATGCCGGCAGCCTGATACACCTGCAGAGCTGCGAGCCTAAGGCCTTCCTACAAGCGGGCTCTGTTCCTCTCTAAAGCATGAGGGCAGGGGTGGCAGAGAAACGGATCACACCCTGCCGGAAAAGGAAAGCCACACAAGTGCCCAGCAGGCACTCATAGCACTGATGCATCCTTGCCAGCTGCAAAGAAGAAACAGAGCAAGCACCACTGCCCCTTTACTCTGAAAGTAGCTGTGCATGGCCCATTGCAGATCTGAGTATGGTAGGGAAAGGTGATGCTTATCCCAATCAATGTTTAACTACCTTCAGTCTCATCATGCAGTAGATTAAAGGAGAAACATCAATAGCTATCTTGAGCCCTGCATTTGTGTGGCTTTGGACCCAGGAATGGGCTTGCTGAAGATATCTTAGCTCTTTTATTGTGGAGGGTGAGGGCAATACCCTTTGACAGGAAATGTTCATAGCAAGATTGAGTTGTACCTATAGGACAAGGCCAGCTTGAGGATGCCTCACTTTCACCAGCCATGGAAGAATATCAAAGAACCACTCAGCGCATAGAGTAAAACTAGGCCATTAACACACTAGGCCTGATTGTCCTAGCACCACACCACAATTACAGTAACCCCATTGACTTCAGTAAATACCAATTTACATGGGTGTAAGTGCAAGGAAGATCAGGCCCGCCCTCTCATCCTGCAAACATAATGAGAGCTAGACCCAAACCTTGGGTCTCTTCTCTTGAAGGGAACAACTGACAGCTACACCACACCATGCCTGCCATGCCAGCATGAAGGAGATTAGTTGTCCCAGGCTTCTGGGTGATCTATATGTCTTCCCTTCACCAAGCAGCAACCTGGTAGAACTAGTCTCCCTCACTGCTGGCATAGCAGCCAGCTCCCCCCTTAGCCAAAGATGACAACGTTCTCTTCCCCATCCCCAGATGGCATGCCACTTACACCCAGACATCACACAGCATCAGCCACTTTTCAGCCACTTGTAGAAAGCCAGTCACTCACTTTCTAGCAATACTGTCCCCCTTCCTTCCCAAGGGGAGATTTCTGGGTGGTAAATTCTCATTCATTCCAAGCCAGAAGAACCCCATTCCTGGATGGCAGAGAGGAACTGCCAAGTTGCAGCTGAGATCGAGCCAGCTTTGGTGGGTGACTCACATCCCCACCTTACAACCCTCTCTTCAGAGGCTGCAGCAACCCCCTCTCCTCACCCAGCTAAGAGTGAATATATGGGGTCACCTTCATTTCTATGCCAATAGCCATCTGCCCCACAGAAGTTGGGATTTGGGGCAGAGAAGAGAAGAGAGGAAAGCAAGAGACTAGTTCTGCCCAAGGCCTTGGAGAAAATTCCTTTAACAAGGACACAGCAGATTTAGTTCAGGCTTCACCGAGTAATTAGCATAGGCACCAAGCAAGCGTGAGGCTGGAGATTTGTGCCGTCCTCAGGCTGCATGTCAATGGGCCCGCAGATTTCAGGGATACATTCCAAAAGTGAGGCAGATTTCACCTACATGCAGAGACTTTGTTCACCTCTTTGCTTTGATTCATTTATTGCCACCCACTGTCTATCCATGTGTCTCTATCTACCATGACAGAACCCTGCTGTCCTGGGCTGGGTCTCCTCTAGGTCCAGCTGGATTTTGCTTGTGCAATTGTAGAAGGTCCCAGCACAGTCGGAGCCACCAAAAACCAGCACAGTGCACAGGCTGCACTTGCCCTGGCTCTCCTTGTCCACATCTGTCAGGTGAGCAGCTGTGAGATTGAGCAGCGTGTGGCCAGCCCGGGGCACCAAGGAGAGGTGACTGTGTGTCACTGTGCTCCATGCAAAAGTGTCTGCAACAGAAAGGAACGATCGCTGCTGGCAAACCTATCCTCTGCACCAGGGATGAAACAAACAGACAGATGGACACAAGGCTGCCAGAAATACCAGCAAGTGCCTTCTCACCGCAGCACAACAGCCACCTTCAGCAATTCTTTGTCAGCAGCTCTGAGGAGGGGATGGGGAGTTACTCACCAAGGTGAAAGGTGAATACATCCTGCAGGGCTCCCTTGGCATTGCAGCCCCCACTGATCAGGACCTTCTGGTCAGACACTGGCATTGCAGCATGGAAGCTAGAATCAGAGCAAAGCATAACAATAACCAGAGCAAAACATACAGGGGACCCACCTTCCCCACCCTCCCTCCTCTCCTCCCCCAGACACCACCTAGGGGGGCTCTACTTACCTAGGAGAGGAAGCCTGGGATAGTGGTTCATGCCACAGATGGGAGTCAGGACTCCAGAGTTCTAGTCCCAGGTCTGCCCCTGAACTGTTGCATAACCCTGGGCAACTCACTTCCCTGTCTGTGCCTTAGATGCTAACTCACCTCTGCAGGTGCCGAGAGGCTTAATGTATGTCTGAGAAGCACCAGAGAACCTCAGACAAAAGGTGCTAATGAAGGGCAGGGGGTTTTATGTTTGCAAGTACCCAAGGGCCTCCCTTCAGGAACCGAGCATTCTCCTTATAAGGGTTTCTCCCTTCCTTTGGCTCTGCTGCTGCCCAGGCACCAGGGAGGATGAGTTGTGCTGGGTGATAGCCCTGCAAGTATGCAGGAAGCACAGTTCCAGCCACAAAGCAAGATGCGGGGGAGTGGAGGGGGGAGGGAGAAGAGGCCTCTTGATCCTGCAACAGGATCTTACCAGCGCGAAGAAGGCTGTCCTGAAAGACATGGGACCGGCACATACTCCATGTAACCTGAAGCATGGGAAAAAGCAGGAGACACTTGAAATGCATGGCAATCCTAGCAGCTCTGCCCAGCTCCACAGCAAGACAAACACCTCTGTGCTGACTGTGGGGAACATAGGGTTTGCTGCATCAAATCAGAGCAGCAACTGGTTTAATCTGCTATCCAGCTTCTTGCAATCACCAGTGCCTAATGTTTCTTACCCCGTCTTGGGCCAAGCCATCTCCTACCCACCCAATCAGGGCCTTCCCTACATCCACAGCTTCCCATCCCCCTTACTCTAGTCCAGACACCTCAGAGCCATGCTGTCCTCCTCCCATATCATATAAGGGCCCTCATTCACCCACTGTCCCCAATCATGTTTCCTAAGGCAGGCAGCCCTTGGATTCCCACCCCAACTGCCAAGTATAGTCTGACAGGAAGGCAATGTCCCATTCTCACCCAGATCCAGGATGTGCACATCATTCAGGTACAAAGGGGTCCTCTGACCCCCAAAGATCACGAGCTTGTTCCTCAGCAGAGTGGCTGAATGGCTGGGGAGAGAGGGGGGTGAGTGAGCAAGGCAGCCTCAGGAACCTCTTGGAATTGAGGGTTCAGGCTCTTTTCACAAAAGCAGGCTTCCAGGAGAGCCATTAACTCAGCTACACTCTTGTGGGCTGGGGCAGCTTGAGTTTACACATGGCCATTCCCCACTTGTGTGCTCTCCACATCCATGAGAGCCTAATACCAGAGCACCACTTGCTGGTGCACAACCCATCAACATGGGACAGTCCCCCAGGAAAGGGCGGGGAGCTGCTTCGCAGGGGACATTTAAAACTAGAACTGGACCAGCCCTGGGGATGTGACTGTGGGGGACAATCATGCCCTGCCCTCCAGGTGTGGCGATTAACTAGATGGGACCTGCTGGTGCTTCCCTCCCTCTGTCTTTGAGGGCTGAAATGAAGGTGTCTCACCCAAGCCGAGGTAAGGGCTTCTCTCCCTCCACAATGGGCTGGTACCAAATCTTGTACTCAGGGTTGAAGACATAGAGTGTGTTGCTGCAGGCCCTGGACTCCAGGGATGCCATCTTGGGGAAAGTCCCTCCAAAGATAAAAAGCTCCTTGCGGTAGATGGTGGCGCTGTGGTAGGCCAGTGTCGGCACCTTCCCCCTGGCCTGAGGAAGAAAGTTCCCAGTCATGTTTCATGTGTGAAAATGAAGTACACAGGTTGCCATGGGTCAGCTCCCTGCTGGTCATGGGCATAGTGAGTCCTGGTGCCACTCTACCTGTTCCATGACCAGAACTCTAAGATGCAGGTGGACAATATCTGCTCAGTTTATGTCCCACCTTTTTCTGACCTGAACGGGGCATCACCCCACAGATCCCAATTGCTTCTGAACACAAACAGGAAGAGGAGGTCATTCTGGAAACATTTCTGCCCCAATCACTGCTAATCCCACATATGCCATTCTCTCTCAGCCCTTTGGCTTTCCTTGTGCTTTAGTGCTGCCCAGAAAGGGAAGGGAGGAAGGTACATGGGGTCACCAGCTGGAAAAGTTTCTCTACAGGAAACAAAGAGGGAAAGGGGAAGGGAAAAAGCATAAGATGAGGGCCTCTGAACCAAGAAAGCCAGCTCATTATCTTGGTGCCCAGACCAGGTTTTCACTAGCCCCCCACAAATGGGGGACCATTTCCCCTGCAATTTGTGTGCTGTTCTCCCATGTAGCTTGGCTCAGATACAGCATCCAGTGTCAATCCATTCTGCCTTCAGCCTCACTCACGCTGGATGCACTATCTGGTTTCCAGGGAGCTTCAAGCTTTTTAACCTAGTTTTCCTGGCTGGGTCTGACTTGGCTCACCCCAAGGGACAAAGCAAGGTGGGGGATTAGAACCCAGAACAGCCCACTTCCCCTTTGTCCTTTTGAAGGCTCCCATCAATGATCCTAACCACATCCCTTCCACTGACCATGAAATGGTAACCAACACACAGTGCCTGACAGTGGGCCTGGGGCCAAAGAGCGAGCACAAGAGCAAGGACATGGGCACGTTGCTCTTGGGTTCCCAGCTGGACCCCCAACAGAAACACACTTCTCCCCCCCCCCAATGCTTTGTCTCTTTCCTGCAGAAGGTCTACTACTCACAGCCACGAGAAGCCACTTCCAGGTGGCTGTGTCCAGGATGTAGATGGTGCTGTAGGGCTTGCCCTCCTTCATGCCCCCAAAGACATAGATCCGTTTGGTGTCCAGGTCGTAGGTGGCGGTGTGACCACTTGAGCAGGGCGGCACAGAACCCAGTGGTGGCAGATCCACGGGGAACCAGAAATCATTGTCTGTCGGAGTAACGCCATTCTAGTGAGGGGGCAGAGACCCTCCCTTCACTCCCCACACCTCAAAAGCCCTATCAGCCTTTGGTCAGGACCCTGCTCCCTTCATTCCCCCCCCACTCTTGACTCAGTGCCAGAGGGAAGGGCTTACAGCACTGTTTCTGGGCTTGGAGGTGGAGGGCATGGGGGCAGCATATAGCTGGGGAATAGCAGGGCAGAAAAGAAGATCAGTGTGTGTGTGGAAAGCGGCAGGACCCTGGATTCACCCCACAAACCCCTCAGACACTGCAAAGTGTGCCTCAGCCTCTGCTCCTTGAAAGCCACCCATCTCCCTGTCCCTGCTTCCACTGACACTCCCAGTCCTAACAGCCAACAGCAGGAGCAGCTCACACATGCAGGATTGCAGGTTCAGGCTGCAGCCCATGGCACTGAGCTCAGCACTAGGTGGCACCAATGGATGGCCCCCAGCCTCAGCAGCATGCAGCCTTCTGCTGAGTGGAGGGACGAAGAGGGGGAAATGGCACTATCAGAAAGTAGCAGGGAGGAGGAGAGTCAGCAAAGAACATGTAACAACAATAAAACAGAGAACAAGGAGGAAGATGAGCAAGAGAAAAAATGGAGAAATAGCTGCCCATGTCAGGATGAGCTGAGGTGCCAAGGGGGCACCCTCCCACTCTCTCATCCCAGCGGAGGGAACCAGAGGCTTTCAGCCTATCCATGCAGAATAATGCAGCCCTCCCTGTGGGGGGTTCCACACAGAATGGCATTAGCATCGGTGGAATGCTTCATCGGCCTGGATCAGAGCAGACCAAATCCACTCAGCTCCTGCTTCTCCCAGAGATGCCTTCCGCCCTTAGGGACCTCTGCCTTCCCCTGCCCAGCCCCAAACTTCTCACCAATCTCTAGTTTCCAGAGAGCATCCTTGCAAGGCTGTTGATTGGCTCCCTCTCCACCAATCAAAATGGCTGTTTCTGAGTCACTGAGGCACATGGCGTGACACCATCGTGGGCTCGGACAGACTGGAGAAGGAGAGATGAAACCGAACTGTGTCACTGGACCAGATAAGGGGGCCTCAGGGTCTCCTCGCTTCCATGGAGAAAGCAAAGTGAGGAGGCAGGGGCCTGGACTCTCATGGGAAGGTGGTAGCCTGAGGCCCTGAACCCCCAAGGACAGATGGCAGGGCAAGAAGCACTACATACCTACACCCAAGTGGTCTAGAGGCCAGGACCCCTTGGGCATGGGGATTTTCTTGTTAGCTTTAGGGAGTAATCATGGGGTTTCCCCTCCACATTCTCAGTAACACAGGGAGCCAGCAGTGGGGAGTCTGGCTAGCTGCAGGATCATGCTCCCTGCACTTCAAGCAGGTGGGGGGCATTTTGATCCCTTTGAGCAGCCATGCCAGAAAGGATCCTCAGCTGTGGACAGGCCCAATTCTTTTCTCCTACATTTAAGAGTATTGGGAGAGTCTGGTGACTAGGGGACTGCCAGCTCCTAGGGCATGTGGGGGGTGAGAGGCCAGGGTTCCCTCCAGCTAGTTCTTTAGGATAGCTCCTTCCCCTTTCCCTTCCAAGGTTCCTCCCTCATCAACAGGCCCCCATACTAACTGATGGGGAAGCTGGAAAAAGTTTGGTCAGTCTATGTATCATTTTACTCACCCGCCCCCCCGTTAGTGAAACCCACCAAGCACACAGTGGGGCAGCTCAGATTTCAGGGAGGCTGCAATGGGCATTGGAGATTCTTCCTATCCCTCTCACAATGCCCGGGGTGTATAGTTCGGGGCGACCCCATGAGGCCAGACAGAGTACGCACAGCCTGCTCACAGTTCCGGGTGCTTAGGGATTTAAGGGAACAAGCATGAATGTTCACTCTAAGGCCTACGACATTAAACAAATGATATCCCCAAGCCAGCCCAGAGTCTGAGCACCAGGTTCTCACCTTGCAGTTCCTTCACCTCCAAGTCTGCAGAGAGAAAACACAGACAGGTGATGGTCCCCTGAAAGCAGCAGCGGGGAGTCACCTCCTCGGAGGGGCTCAATCCTGTAATATGGTGCAAGTGCCTCTTCCCCCTACCCTGGCACACAGCCATGGAAACAACACTTCTGAACATGGAGATCCAGGGGAGTGGATATGGTGCCTCTCACAGTTAGCACACTGGTTCCAATCCAGCCACATATTAGGGGGACAGGCTGACTCACAGGGAGTGAAGAGTCACCACCAGCTCATTTCACCTGCCTGCACAAACCTCAAGGTTCAGGGGTTTGGGTCTCAAACAGCATAGGAGAGTAGGTGAGGTCAGTGCTGGTGAAAGGTGCAAGAGAGCGAGCCCTGGAGAGAGAGGGCATCTGTATCCCCAGAACAGGTACAAGTAAAGCAGGGCCCCTCTCTGCCACTGTGCTTCACCCACTTCCTGGGGGGGACCCCTCTATGGTGAGATAGGAGCTCAGGCTCCATGACTCTGTCTCTGCTCAAACTGCCAACAAGGGGAACCACTGTAACAGTGGTTTGGGGATGGGGACACTTGTTTCATTAGGAATGGGACCAAGATCCAACAACTCATTTCATACAATGAATAGCCTTCAAAGGCTTACAGCTTTTGGTCACAAGCTGGGGCTGAATTGGAACCAATGCTCTTAAGGAGAAAGGTTCCGTTTCCAATTCCCCAGTCCCTGTAAGCCAGCCAACTCCCAGCAGACTGTTACATACAAAAGAAGCTCAATGCAAGAACATTTTTAAAAATACTCTTCTGGCACGCTCTGCATTTGGCATCAATTAATGACGTGTCCGATATGGACCAAGAGATACAGTATTGGTAAGGGGTCCTGGACTAGAGCTCATGAGACAGGAGATCTCAGCTCAACTCTGTCACTGATCTACTGTGTAACAGTGGGTAATGCTCTCTGTGCCTCAGTTTCCTCAGCTATAAATGGGGAGAATTACATTTAATCTTCATTTGTAAGTGCTTTGACACCTACAGATGAAGAACTAAGTGATACTATTACATGGTGCAGTGCAGTGACATCAGGAGACTCCAGCTTCCATTTCTGACCAAACAGGCGTAGGTGGCACACTCAAGCCATTTGTTCAAGGACAGAACTGGAGAGAGATTCTCAGGGTTCTGAGAGGAACACAGGGGACCTCTTGGCTGGGGTTAGGAACTAACTGGGCAACTGTCCCCAGAGGCAGCACACACAGGTCTGGGAGTCAAGCAGGCAAGATCCAGAATAGACACCCAAATGTCTGCATCTCACTCCGCATTTACGGAGCCAGAGTTACCTTCAGCATCCTGCTCCCCTTCACATGCCCTGGGCTCAAACAAGACTTTCCTAGGCTTCTTTAGCTGGATAGGTCTAGGCTTGCAGATTTTCCTCCTGGCCTCCTTGGGTGCCTTCTGGCCAGTGGGTGACTCTGGAGCAAAGGGCATCAACAGCTTTTTTGGCAGTGGAGATAAATCCTTACTTCTGGTCCTTTGTGCTCTGGCAGTTGCCTCCAAACTCTGACGTTTAACCTGTCCAACAGAAGTCACAGCAGAATCAGCTGCCTGAGGCTTCTGGGAGAAAAAGTAAGCCCGTTCTATATCTCACTTGGCTCTTTAGATCAGCCTCATCCATGGCTGGAGATGACAAAGGGACAGGTGGGCCAGAACCCCCCATAGTTGGCCCACTACTGTGGTGGAGGTTAATTTTAGAGAGGGAACCAAGCTGATCTAGCCACCAGCTGTTCCTCCTGCTGCATGCCCAGCCAGCAGCGCTGGAGAGAGATTCTTCGGATTGCCAACTGAAGAGTGGCACAGCAAGAACGGGGGCATTATTGGAAGGTGGGAGAGCGGCACAGTGACAAGCTGAAGCATTAACCTGTAGACACCAGGTGCATTTGACTCAAGTGAGGAACATTACAATTCATTGATCTTTCTAGCACAGACCAGACCTTAGCTTCACTAAGCTTCACTTAGCTGTTCAGCCAGGGCCCTGCTAGGAGAGTGGTGCCAATGGCTTCACCTGCCAATAGAGTTTACTGGCTCCGAGTGGCTATGAGCAAGGGAGAGGGTGGGAAGGAACAGTTGAGATATCCAACGTGCACATACCTCAGTGGTATCGTCCAAGACCTGGATGGGGGACATGGTATCTTCCGGGAGGACTGGTGACTGTGTGGGCTCCGGTGCCAGAAATGGGCGAGTGGGGGTGCTGTTGTAGATGCCCTTGAGCAGCTAAGGGACAGACAGGGACCGCAGAGCAGCATAAGAACAACATTCTCATCCTGCCCCCATGTTTCACACACACCAGGGGCCTAGTCTCCCTCACTCACAGAGTGAGTGAAAAGCTAAATTACAAGAGAGATCAACTGCAGGCCAAAAGCCCTAGTGTCCAGCTCTTAAAGATTCCTAGGCCAGAAGGGCCCACTGTGATCACCTAGTCTGACCTCCGGTATAACACAGGCCATAAAACTTCCCCAAAATAATTCCCAGAGCAGATCTTTTAGAATAAACATCCAATCTTCATATTAAAATGGTCAGTGATGGAGAATCCACCATGACCCTTGGTAAACTGTTCCAATGTTAATTACCCTGACTGTCAAAAATGTATACCTTACTTCTGGTCTGAATTTGTCTAGCTTCAACTTCCAGCCATTAGATTGTAGGCTACCTTTCTCTGCTAGATTGAAAAGCCCATTATTAAATGTTTGTTCCCAAAGTAGATACTTATAGCCTGTAATCAAGTTACTCCCTTAACCTTCTCTTTGTTAAGCTAAATAGATTGAGTTCCTTGAGTCTATCACTATAATGTACGTTTTCTAATCCTTTACTCATTCTCATGGCGGAACCTTCTCCAACGTATCACCATCCTGCTTGAATTGTGGACAGCAGAACTGGACACAGTATTTCAGCAGTGGTTGCACTAGTGCCAAATATAGAGATAAAATAATCTCTTCTCCTTGCTGAGATTCCCTCATTTATGCATCCCAGGATTGCACTGGTTCTTTTGGACATGAGCTCCCAGTGTGATGCTATGTTCAGCTGATTATCCACCATGACCCCAAAATCTTTTTCAGAATCACTGCTTCCCAAGCTAGAGTCTCCCATCTTGTAAGTATGGCCTATGTTCTTTGTTGCTAGATGTATACATTTCCATTTAGCTGTATTAAAACAGTGTTTGCTTGCACCCAATTTCCCAAGTAATCCAGATTGCTTTGAAACAGTGACCTGTCCTCTTCATTATTTACCACTTCCCCAGTTTTTGTGTCATCTGCAAACTATCAGTGCTGATTTTATGTTTTCTTCCAGGTCACTGATAACAATGTTAAATAACGTAGAGCCAAGCACTGAGTCCTGTGGGACCCCGCTGGAAATACACCTGCTAGACGATGACTCCCAATTTACAATCACATTTTGAGACCTAGCAGTTAGCCAGTTTTTGGAACTTGGACTGGTGGTGATGAAGGCGTTTCTCACCCCAGAGGTATTTATCATAGTGGATGCTCATGCACGTGGACTGCTTCTTTGCTTCTCTTGCTTGTCCATGGGGCTAGGCAATTGTCTAGGGGGAACGGTCACAGAGCTATTGCTGGGAATTAAGCAGAGCACCCAGTGCTGTGATAGCTACAAAGTAACAGCCCCAAGGAAGTGAAACAAGGCAGGAATCCTCAGTACCTGGAACCGATACAGGTACTGGCTCTGAAAGATTGCAAATATGAACATGCCAGGTCCCTAGGTCACCATCCCCAACCTTGACAGCCATTCCATAGGCCTCAGAATCTGCAGGACTACGAGTGGAAAGCTACATGGATGCTCTGATGGACACACAGATGAAGAGCATGAACTCAGCCCATGGATTGGAGCCTTATTCAGGAGTGCTACAATCAGGAACTTTCCAGCCTCTCATCAATAATAATACCTAGCTTTACAAAGCTTTTCATCCATAGACCTCAAAGTGCTTTACAAAGGAGGTCAAAAGCAAGAAAGAGAGGATCCATCTCAGGGGCACTTGATCCAATGATTTCAACACATGGGCAACCAACTGCCTGGATACCAAGAACTGGGGGCAGAATGGAATTGAAACTTCCTTTACCTACTAGTATCTGTGGCATTTAAAAGTCAAAGGTGCACTGGCAGACCTGTGCATAGAACATAGGTCTGGAACAGCAGGGCTTTGGGTCAGACATGAGGTGCATTAGCAGATCTGTGGGAAGAGACCAAGCACCGGAATAGCAGTGGGTGTTGCTGGCCATAACCAGCACCCACAATAGGAAGAGCAGGATATATAGGGAACTGCTTTCTTACCTGCCCATTGACAGTCAGGAGAAGTTTAACAGGGTTGCCACAATCCTTCTGTTTCAACGAAGCCATCAGAATGTCCACCCTCCAGTCACCTTCCCACACAAGGGACCTGTGCAAGGACCATGGAATCTCAACTCACAATGGACACTGCCCAAGGGAGACATCCTGCTCCTCTACCAGTGCTAATGTTCCCTAGAATTCAGTGCCCCCAAGCCACTAAGCACTCAGCCCTGGGAGGAAGCTTTCCCCCACCTTCTGTTCCTTCCAGATCCCTTGGCTGTAAAGGAAGGTCCCAGTGTCAGGGAGAGACTCAGGGACACAAAAGGGACATGGAAGACCGGACACTCTTGAGGCAGTAAGGAATAATGGAAGTTTTGAGAAGGAAAAATAAAAAAATCATATGGTGGCGAATGCATCAGCGAGCCATTCGGATTCTTTTTCACCCTCGTAACACTATGGGGGCGAAGGGCTGACCTGGGGGGAATTGGCATGCCAATAGGGGGGGAAAAGGTGAGCTGGAGAGCCCTTCCAAATTCTCTCCCACCCATCTTAAGTTCCTAACTTGAGTTCTATTGGATGGTCAGAAAAACCTATGCAGTTCTATTCTACAGGCCTTTTCCATAGGAGCCCACACACTTCTTATGTTCAGTTTGGGGCGTGTTTTTGACAATCACCATGCTCTCCTGCCCACAATCTGGCCCTCTCTGCCAGAGAGGGTTGATCACAGCAGACAAAAGAATTGGTTACAATTTTTGAGAGGGGAAAGATGGCCAAAAAATAAAAACTTGGCAGGTTCTCCCTGCCTATGTGTCAGCTCTGCCGGCAAAAATGTTCAACCCTCTCTGTGCTAGCACAGAGCTGGGTGCTTTCTGCTGGCAGCGGCCATGCTACATCTGTACTCCCCCCTGCTACAACAGTTGCTGTAAGGGGAGCTTCGTGCCTGTATCTCCCATGGGTCCTGCACCACGTCAGACCCGTTCACCCCAAAGCTGGCCACCACAAGGGAGAAGAGGGGACCAAGCAGCTGCGGCACTGACAGACTGAGTGTGCTACAGCGCAGTTTCCCGCTGGGGCTGGCCTGCTAGTGCTCAGCCCTAGCCCAGAGTTTTGAGACCTGGAGCCCTATTCCCACTACTCCCCATATAAGTTAGGAGGGACGCACTCCCTCCACATCCTCTATTCCCTTGTTAGCTGAGGAAGACCTGCCCCCCCACACCAAACAAAACATCGGCCAGTAATCAGCTCAGATTTACCTCAAATAACAAAGAGGACCTAGTCCCCAACCATCCACCGGCAGGGATCCACTCCCCACGTGACAAAGCACCTCTCAGCCAGGGACCACAGGGTCCCACCTCTCACTTCCATCACCAGTATAAGGAACAATCACAAGAACCTCCTGGAAGGGCTGGGATGGGGTAGCATGGGTTGACAGAGGGTTGGGGGTGGAAAGGCTGACAGAGTTGGGAGGTGATGGGAAGAGACCGATGTTATATACCCAGGAAATTTGACTTCTGTCAGCCCCCGATGTGGAGCATTTTTAAGGAGCCCCCTGTTAAACAATTGGCAGCATATCAGTGCCTATCCAAGCCCCAACATTTACCTCACATCAGACCCCAATTTGCCAATCCTTTGTGGCTTGACATCTGGATTCACCAGCACCTCCACAGTGATGCTTGTGTTTTGGGAATAACAATTCCAGTCACCCAAACCAAAGACTACAAGTTGTTTTGGCAAAGGCAGAGGCAGCTGAATCTGGTAACACATCTGGCTGGATTTGCTTGAAGAGACGACAAAAAAAAAAAATGTGTAGCAGAAATACAGGAAGCCCAAATGAAAACAAGGAGAGGCCTAGGCAGATGTCCATGTGAGGAGAGACTGAAAGGATTAAGACTATTTAGTTTAGAGAGGAGATGAATAAATGGGGATGTGATTAACCTACAGAAAATAATAAATGGGCTAAAGAGGGCAAATCAGACGCTTCTATTACCCTTTCTCATCACAATATAAGGGAAAAGGGGTATTCAATCAATTTAAAAATGGATGGGCAGCTGGTGTACACAGACTACTGCCGATCATGCTGATCGGTATCATTTCACCAGGTCCTTGTACTCCCCTGTCTATATCCAGCTGTTGTCTCTTGTCTTACGCCATGTCTACACTACCATTTATGTTGGCAAAATTTATGTCGCTCAGTGGTATGAACTAAGGCTACCATACCACTGTCCGGCCAACAGCCACCACTCTGTGGTTACCCAGCTCTGAATGTGTGCAGGAAGGTTTTTTTCCCTAAAGCTTTCCCCCCACCCCCCCATCCAGAATACATTCCACACAGGCAAGTTTGAGAACCTCTGGTGTAAGGCTATGTCTACATTAGATACCTTATAGTGACACAGCTGTACCGATGCAGCTGCACTGCTGTAGGATCTCTCATGTAGCAGCTCTATGCTGATGGGAGAGAGCTCTCCCGTTAATTAAACCACCCCTGCGAGCGCCGAAAGCTCTGGCGGTGGGAGAAGCTCTCCCAGCAACACAGCACTGTGCTCACTAGCGCTTATGCTGGAGTAATTTAGGTCGCTTGGGGGAGTGGAATATTCACACCCCTGGGCGTCATAAGTGGTAGTGTAGACATAGCTTTACTGTTCTGTGTTTGTACAGCACCTCGCACAGTGGTGTATACAAATAAACAACAATAACAACTAAATTAAATTGAAAGGCAACACCTTTCAAACTGATTAAATATGTACAAGTTCCTTAGAGAAGGGACCACGGTGGGTCCCTAATCCTGACTAGGACCTCTGGACACGGCAGCCGCACAAATAAACGGTGGCACTCGGTACCAGATCACTGACATACCTGTCACCTGCAAGGGGCCCACAACCCAGGGAGACAGCCAGGTCTGAGCGCAGCCCAGCAATGAGCGTAGGAAGTCCTGCGTCAAAGGCCGGGTACTAGGGAGCTGCGTTTAGTTTACACCCCGTTGCTTGACACAGCCCCGAGCTAAGGGCTGGCGGGGCCGGGGGCGTCCGTCCAGCGGGCTTCACGCGCCGGGGCCGCAGGTCAGGACTCGGGGGCAGCGGCACAGCCGCGGGATGGGTCCAGCAGTAGCGTCGCACGCAGGCGAAGCGGGGAATTGCCGGAGCTGGGGGCCCTGACCTGTGCGGGCTGAAGGTCCCGCGGAGCCCAGGCCGGGATCCCCCCGCTCCGCGCAGGCCGAGCCTCCGGGAAAGGCCCAGGCCCACGCAAAACTCCAGAGAGCCGGAGATGGGGCCGGGCCTACAATAGTGACCCGTTCAGCTCGTCCCCGGGTCTCACCTGCTGAGCTGCCGGGGCGGCTCCTGGAGCGACCAGAGCACGTAGAAGTGGAGGCTGGTGCTTGGAGCGGGAGCCACACTCCGGGGCGCCTCGGCCGGTGCATCCCACTGCCCAAGGCCCCCGGGAGCCCAGCTCCATCGGCGGTGCGGGGACCGCCTGCTGCCTGAAGCCGAGAGGCTGGGGCTGGAAAGCAGCATGGCCAGCGGAGCAGGTAGAGGGAAGCTGGGGCTTTATACTCAGCTCGGAGAGGAAGGGGCACAGGACAGCCCCACCTGGCGGCCCCCGATACTGGAGCTGACAGGAACCAGGGGTACCCCCATAACTGGATGGGGAACAAATCCCTTCACCCAGGCCTTGTTTTTTTCCTCTCTTCCTGTATTCATTCTTGTAGATGGCCTGACCCCAATCCACCCCCCCTCCACAGCTCCCCAAACACAACCCCACCCACCACTCCCCAGCTGTGAAGGGGGCACACCAGTTGGTCCTGTCATTAGGCTGGACGTCAGCCATCAAACCCAGTTGAGCCCACACCCCTGTGCAAAGTGGTCCTGGCAATGACTGAGATGGCAGCAAGCAAGTCCAGCCCCAGTTGCAGCAGAGATTGGCCAGTTCCCAGTGGTGATTAGAGCACTGCAGAAGTCAGTGCTTTTTAGATCTGGGGGCTTAGTGCCCAGCAGGATCTAGTTCTAGCAGGGCTTGAGTCCTTTGTCTGTGAGCTGGGTTGGAGGGGTACCAGAAGAGGATTATGGCTGACACCCAGTCAAAGGTAGCAGGTTTCCAAGTGTAGACCACAGTTTTACCCGTGCAATGCATGTGGCTCCTGGGGCGAAGACAGTCAGAACAACAGAGGACCTTAGCAGTAAAATCAGCAGAAGCCAATAAACTAATAGCCTGATTTCAGACAAATATTCAGACTAATGAAAGAGAGAAGGATCCTCACAGCCCAGCACAAGGTGTTCCAGATCCATCACTTTCCAGGCAGGAGAGAGAGAGAAAGAGAATGTGAGAATGACTCTAGTTCAGTGGTTAGGGCACCCATCTCCTCCTCCAGCTGTTGTGTGTAGAGCAAGGGAGCTGCTGAACTCATTCCTACAAGAAACACCGAAGCTGTCTGAATCCAGGCAGCTCCATTGGTTGATTGCTAAACAGAGCTAGGTACCTAATTTTGAGAGGGAACAAGCTTAGGACACATGCATTGGGTTGGCATCTCCCATTGGCTAGTTTAGGCAGATTCTCACCTAGTATGCTGGCTTTTGTGGCTTGCATTCTTAGGCACCCTTCTCTCCCCATTCATTGTATAGGGAGCATTAGTGCTTAATTCAGACTTTGAATCACAGTATTGTTCCTATGATTTTCTAAAAGCTGGTGCTGTGATGCTCAGCATTGCAATGGCTATGTCCCTTCCTGGCTCCCACTCTGTGTATCCAAGAGTTATGGTTAGGAAAGTGTTTGTGGTACAGTCAGTGTAAGAGAGCCATAAAGCTGAGCAATTAACTCATGTGGTAAATTTCACACCTACTTCTGTTAAAAAGTTGTCCACAAGCTGGTTTTCCTCCTCTACCATTTGAAATTATTAAAGAACAGGGACAGAATTATGAGGGTGCAGATAGGTCACTGTAGATGTTCAGTGGGTAGTCTGGCCCAGAGCACATGGCCTTTTTTCTCTTCCATGACTGGATAAGCACAACTCTGAGAGTTAGTTTCCAGCATGAATAAATTCAGAATGTGCTTTGTACAAATATCTTTTAAATTTACCACTACCCTCTATACTTTTGCCCATCTATTCATTCACTACAATACTCAGAGCAAACAGAAAGGTAAAAATACAAACTGGAACCAAGTGGACATTGTGAAAGAAGCCCTCACATTTGCACTAGTCACTCCACTCTGAACTCCCTAAAAGCACCCAATGCTGCATAAATGGTGAAGGGTACATAAGGTCACAGACAGGTAGTATAGCTGTGTTTCTGCTTTTATTTTATCTAGCAGCTATTCTTTACAAACAGCCTGCTCCTTGGGGATATTTAAATACAGTCTTCAGATTGGCCTAGTGCTTCTCCTTACACCCCCCTACCTACAGAGGTAGAGAAGGAAAACATGGTTTCTGGGCAATTTAATCAGTCTCTCGCAGTTGGAAAACAACACTCTCTCCCTCCAACAATTCTAAAGGTGATGAAATGGAGACTGTCCATTAGCCCTCTCCTCTCCTGCTAAGGGTTACAGTACAGATACAATAACCGGGAGGGGGGGGAGGAAGGGGAAGAGAGGAGAGGAGGCAGCTCTGTCTGCTCTAACTTGTGGAACAGGGGGTTTGATTAATTTTTTAAAAGCCTCTGTACTCCTGCCCTCTGACTCCAGCTCTGCAAGCATCCTCTGCTGCTGCTGCTGCTAAAAATCACATTCATTTGAAGGGCAAGAAAATTCCAACAAGATGTTGACACCATCTGGACAAAAAGAGTTTGGATAAAATATGTTGCCTCTAGCCTTGCTCCACCACCTATATTAGGCTTTGTAGATATTTTGATTCCCCAGCATCACATATAAACCAGCTTTATTTGCAACTCAAGGAACAGAGTGTTATGTTGGACCAAACGTAGGCAAGAGTCTCCACGTTGCATGGTTTTGGCAAGCCGCTTACCAGTCTGTTGGAGATCAGAGGAATGGAGTCATGCTGGAGAGGGAACTATATTGCAATCTCCATTGTATTAAGGGGGAGAAAAAAAAACCTACTAAACTTAAGCACAAGGGTTCAGAGTCTAATTCACCCATACTCCTTCAAAGTTGAGGAATATCCTGCCTGCACCAGGTTGTAAGAAGTCACTGTCAAAGGAGGTAAGACACCTGACTACAAGACCTCTCACAGCACCATCTTAAAACAGAACAATGAACTTCTTAAAGAAGCATCTGACCACTGCCCAATGCCAGAGGAGCTCCAGCATTGGGAGCTTCCCAATAGCAGTGCCCCTTCTTATGCCAGCTAAGACAAGTAAGGAGAACATCCCTAGTTGCCAACTGCTGAAGTCCGGCACTGCTGCAAAGTTCACTGTGAATATTCCTCTCTATTGCTTTGCAATTCAAAAATAAGTTCAGCTCGGATTTTTTTGTTGAAAGCCTGAAGTCTGAGTCTTAGCTCTGAAGCACCCACTCCCCTTAACAGAAGACAAAAGTCATGGTTGCATAGTGAAAAGTTTATTTAAAGAGTCTGGAACTCAGACAATACATGTCACAAAACAGCCACACCATACTGAAGATAAACATGCTAACTCAGCTGTAGAAGGAAATGCAAGCACACTAGAAATAGACTTTCTTTGGGCCATAGAGCAAAAAGATAAAAGATTCAGTGCCACATTTTGGTAAAGTATCCTTTTGATGTTTAAAAACAATCCCTTGGAAGGACAAAGAGCAGCAGTTTGGTGCAAAGAACTTGACTCAGTTTGAAACTACAGTACATTAAAAAACATTTCACATCACACAGATGAGGACTGACAAAAAGACCACAGATCAAAAAAATAAACCTTTAAGGTGTGTCCAGATACAAGACATTCCCCATTGCAAGGCTACTGAGGGGCACGTTGCAGAGGTGGGGACTGGCCTTTCCATCTTGTAGACTGCTGTCACGAGGGTACCTTAGAGGCCTCTGGGAGGCTGCCTTCAACCACTGAAAGTTTTCAAAAGTAACTAAAATTCAAAGTGGTCACTTGGCGATGCCTCTATAGCTCCTGGCATGATGGCTGGCATCTAACATCTCAGTCTGTATCACAGAATATCAGGGTTGGAAGGGACCTCAGGTGATCATCTAGTCCAACCCCCTGCTCAAAGCAGGACCAATCCCCGTTTTTTGCCCCAGATCAACATAACAGCCCCCTCAAGGATTGAACTCACAACCCTGGATTTATCAGGCCAATGCTCAAACCACTGGTCTCACTTTTACCCATCATCCATTCTAACCAGTCACAAATCAGATTCTTATTCCATATGAATTACAGAGTCTTAAACTGTCAGACAGGAGAGGAGTACATATTTCTTCAGCTGACACTTCCAAGAGTCACAGGTAAATAGGAGACCGGAATATATGGAATTGTCATACTGGATCAGACCTTCTCACATGATATCCTGTCTCCAGCAGCAGCCCACACCAGATACTTCAGAGGAAGGTGCAAGAAACACCATAGTAGGCAAACAAGGGGATAGTCTGTCCCTTCAGGCAGTCTCCTCCCAACTCCTGATAGTAACAGATTGATTTGAGCCCTGAAGCGTGTGGTGTTTGACCTCTTCAAGAACTTCATTTTAATTTAGTATTTACTGCAATAACCCTGGACATTCTTGTAATCCATAAGTGTCCCATCGCTCTTTGAATCTTGCTAAATTCTTGTCAAGGAGCCGAATTCTGAATTTACCATGGTACAATTTCAATGACTGTCCCTATTTGATCTGCATGCCGTCTTAATATGGATATGCCTAGCAATGCACTGCCCATTACAGCATGTAGCCATGGTTCTACCAAATATGGGAAAGGAGAACAAGTCATCTAAAATTTAGAGATTTTTGCAGCTTTGATCCTTCATCTAGTTCCATAGTACACAGCAGCACATATCAACTCCAACTCTGGATTCATACACTCCACTAGCGTGTGGCGACAAGATCTGCTACTTTTGTGTTCGGTTAGCATTGTCACAAGTCCTTCTCATTTTAACTGCCTTGGCATCCACCCATCTACAACTCCCTCAAGAAAAAATAGCACTTAGGCATTCCACTATGCATGCTCAGTAGTAACAAAGACACCTTCTGAAGGCAATAGCTCTGTGGTGCCAGAGAGCTCAGGCTTTCAGTTGTAATCCTCATCTCCTTGGTGAGAAGGTCTCAGTTAAAGCAGTTTTAATTTGCCAGGAACAGACTGACATATATTGCATGTAGTTGCAATCTTTGGGGACCATATTGTTTTAAGTTTATGTATCACTGTGGGCCAGGGATTGTATGACACTTCAGGTGGGAGGGTCATTACAGCCCCCTGAGGAACCAAAAATAGTGGGGGTGATTAAGATGAATCACTTAGGTTGTAAACACCTGTAGAAAGATACCACCCCCAGGGAGGCTTGCACACTTACTGGTTCAAACTAGGAGATGAACAGACAAAGAAAGGGCTTTTGATATAAAACAGCTAGGTTTAAACTGACTCAGGCCTCCTTTCTGATCCTGCAAACAGACCGGATCTTATATCTGAGGGAAGCCCCAATCCTTGCAGAAGGTTGGAAAAACTTTCGCCTAATAGCGCCCCCTTTGACTGATCAGGGTAACCTTTGATAAGCTTTTAGCATGTGTATAGGAATTTATTGTTTTTAATAGGTTTTCTCTGTAATGCTTTTACCTTAATAAAGGTGCTTGCTTAGAAAGAGCTGTGTGATAACTTGTAACTGCTGGCAATACACTGTACAGAGCCCTCAGAGAGAAAGCAACACACAGCCACTGGCTGTTAGGTAGACTGGTTTGGGGGGATACCACAGTGTAAGGCAAGGACATGTGCAGCTTTAAAACCCCCAGTGAAAAGGGAGTGGGACAAAGGTCCTTGCCCAGAGACAAGTGACAGCTGGAGACCTGATTGAGCACTCCTGGAGCAGACCACAGTGGGGTGTGTGGATACAGGTGCAGTTACTCTGAAACTATGACAGACTATAGGGGATCACCAGCCTAACTTCCAGGTGTGCTATTTGGAAGGTAGGTAGAGAAGTGAGGGGGAGGAAACCCTTGCAATTAAGGGTCTGGGGAAAGTAAATGATAAAGTCTATGGCTCTGGTTTCACTCCCTCTTGTTTCAAGGCACCACATGATAAATGCTTAGGGAGTGGCTGTGGGGGGGGGGGGGGAGGAGAAAAAGAAGAAAAAAATTCAACTGGGATGCAAGTGAACTAGAATAGAGATCCCTCCCAAAACCCCACCCTGCAAGGATATTTAATGAGCTCCTTCCAGCTCCAGAGTCACCAAGGCACAGCCACTGGACATGTAACATGGCTCCCCACTTATCTCCTATCCAAGTCCAGCCACAATTTGTTTCTGTACACAAAATACAGTTTGTTTCTTTCAGTCACAAAAGCCACACACAGGAGGAAGACACACACTGTTTGCCAAATATAAAAATTTTTTCTCTGGTGAGGTTTTAGGTTTTTTTTTTCTAGTCACAAACTATAGGAGAGGAAAACACACAAAAGCATCACTCCATGGAAACAAGTTAGGAACTTTCCTTGAAGTGAACATTTTTAGGTTACTAATGTCCTTGCAAAACTAGAATCTATTTCAGAATTCACTTTTCGTCTCAGACTCAGGAGTCACAGTTCTCAGTGTCTGCAGTTAGAATGGAGGTCTCCCCAGCACTGCTTCAGCTACAGGTACCAGAGCTGGATACAAGCCTAGTAGGTATTGTGGGCAGAGGTACCAAGGAAGCTGTAGCTTAATGAGGAGTGAGACAAGGAGAGGAGATTATTCCTTTGATCTGACTGGGGCTTAAGATGCCATACACTAAATGGAAATGACTGCTGAAAGCCACTGGCTATACAGCATCCTTTCCTTGCTAACTGAATATGCTTTCTGCTAGAGACTTGATTAAAGTATCTTAACAAGCCTAAAGGCTGAGTTATTGACTTTATTAAGAACAATTAGGGACAACTGCAAACCATTTATAAGAACATAAGAATGGCCATACTGGATCAGACCAAAGGTCCATCCAGCCCAGTATCCTGTCTGCTGACAGTGGCCAATGCCAGGTGCCCCAGAGGGAGTGAACCTAACAGGTAATGATCAAGTGATCTGTCTCCTGCCATCCATCTCCACCCTCTGACAAAGAGAGGCTAGGGACACCATTCCTTACCCATCCTGGCTAATAGCCATTAATGGACTTAACTGGATACATTCATGGAGGTTCTCTTTTAAACCTTGTTATAGTCCTAGCCTTCACAACCTCCTCAGGCAAGGAGTTCCACAGGTTGACTGTGCGCTGAGTGAAGAAGAACTTTCTTTTGTTTGTTTTAAGCCTACTGCCCATTAATTTCATTTGGTGGCCCCTAGTTCTTATATTATGGGAACAAGTAAATAACTTTTCCTTATTCACTTTCTCCACACCACTCATGATTTTATATACCTCTATCATATCCCCCCTTAGTCTCCTCTTTTCCAAGCTGAAAAGTCCTAGCCTCTTTAATCTCTCCTCATATGGGACCCGTTCCAAGCCCCTAATCATTTTAGTTGTCCTTTTCTGAACCTTTTCTAATGCCAGTATATCTTTTTTGAGATGAGGGGACCACATCTGTATGCAGTATTCAAGATGTGGGCATACCATGGATTTATATAAGGGGAATAAGATATTCTCTATCCCTTTTTTAATTATTCCTAACATCTCATTTGCTTTGTTGACTGCCGTTGCACACAGTGTGGACATCATTCCAAAGATAAGTGGTTCTCAGTCAGTCACCTATATATTTTCATTCAGTACCTGCGTGACAAGGTCACCAATATGTTCACATAACTTGGAAATGAAAGACCAAAGAAAAGTGTGACATTCTGGAAGCTGTGAAGCTTTCATTATTGTAGATTAAATATTCTCCACTTACAGCTGTTTAGCACTTATGGGAAATACAAGCTACTCTACTGAAATATCAACAATGAAGGAAGATGTGTCAAGGCCCTTTTACTCCAGTCAGCAGCAAACATGGCTATGGACACAATGAGGTAATAAGACTGGCACATATACCAGCTTGGGACTGCACACCATATACAAGGACCATTTGTCTTTAATCAAGGAGGCAAGAAAGGGGCAAATCTGATGAAGTGGACTGAGACTCAGAAGAAAGATCTGTGTCTATTTCAGAAGGGCAGGACTGAACACTGGGATTCCCATCTACTGTACAGTCCACCTTACTAAGGACTATTTGGAGCAGCTGCCAATTACCTAGAAAGGAACCAGTCTCTGATTAGCTAAAGGGGAACAACTTATCCTGGAGACAGTTCTAGAACACTGGCCCTGAGTAGAACTCTCCACATGAGAATCCATGACATCAGCAGTTTCTAGAATACCTGGTATATATACACAGGTCAGGTGTGTCTTCCTTATTTACTAAATCCTATTTCAGACAGCAGCTAGTGGCCTAGACAGTGCATACCTCTCCTCTTTCAGATGCATGCAGGACCTTCCAAAATATGTAGCAAGAGGCCAAATGCATAGCAGTCACTGATGCATTACACAGCAGGGTGGGGGAACACGGAGATTTACAGTCAGAAGCAGAATATTTAAGGGGTGGGGCAGGGCCCTGCTCCACATCTGGTGTTTAGGAAGTTGAGAGCCAAAGTAAAAGAGGGGTTCCTTGATCAGGCCCTGGGGGAGAGGTTGTGGAAGGAAGCAACTGGAGAGGGAGGTACCTACCCTGGCACTTCAAGAGGGCTTGGGGAAGAAGCAAGCATCCACACCCAGGCTGTTAGGGGGTCAGGGAGAGAGGAGCCCATGCCCAGGCTGCTTAGAGGGGAAGGGAGGGCCCCACCCTTAAAATCCTGCTTCTCTTCTTCCTTGCAGGGCCCCTCCACTGATGCTACCTGGAATTAGGCAGCTACTTTACCTTCCAGCTCCTCTTGGGCTGGGCCACTCTGCTCTTCACTCCCCTCTCCCTTCCTGGGAAGAGGAAAAAGGGCTGCAGCTGCTCCCTCCTTGCCTCTGTGCCCCTTAAAGGAGGAGCAGCCCTGCTGCTCATCCCTTACTTTTTAGAACAGCAGTTGTGCTCCCTGCCTCCTTCCTCTCCTGAAAAAGAAAAAACACGTTGGTGCCTGAGCCTATGCTGCCTTGTCCTCCCCACCCACTACTGCAGAAGCAGCAGATTGGCATGGGCTGCTCAATGGTACACCTCCCTCTGCTCTTACCTCCCTGACCTAGCCATTGCTCCTGAGTGCTTAAGTAGGCAGAGCAGATAAAAAGAAGGGCCTGAATCAAGAGGTATGGAATCACCAGGGAATTATTGGGCTTCTTAGGAGAGTGAAGTCTTTGGCTTTATACACCCCCACACTAACCCCATCTGCAGCAAGGGCTAGATCTGCACAAAAGGGCAATATCTGGAGGGTGTCAGACTGGAACTTCACCAGAATCATCCTGCACAAAGTCACTCAGTAACTCCAAACAGAGGCACCTCAGAGCAAATTCAGCAGCTACCTTGAAGGGAAATGGTTCTTGAATAAAATCAAATAAATAGTCATTTCGAATCTTGAAGAGTTACAAATAAATACCCTTTAAAACCCATCTGTTGACAGATTAATGTGATCCTTGCTTATTCCTGCCAAGGGCTGAGCAGAGGCTGACCACTATTACCACTGCTAACCCCTGAGGTGGGCCAGGGAGCTGCATTCCTCAATGTGTTAGTTAGCAATAACTTCAGGGACTCACTAACTCCAGGTGGGTATATAAGGGAAAGGCTGATCCCATATTTTTCAGATTCAAAGTGTGCTGACCTGAGACGTTAACCGTTTTACATTAACACAAGAGGCTGCAGCTCAATTTTCCCCACAGGTAAGAGAAAGTTTTGTTGGTGACAGGAATTTTACACATCCCCACAGTCAGGATGATCTGTATCCACCTCCCCATCCACACCTGCTTTCCCTTTTCTATGGAGATCTTCCTATTGATTACCTCTGCAAGGATCCAAAATAAAGGTTTCACATGATTGGGTCTGGCACTTGTGACATGACTACATCACCATGAATGGGGTCAGATGATGCAGGCTGCAACTCAGGTAGTTGGAGGGATGAATCCCCACACAGAGATTAATGGAGGTTTGGCTAGTGTGTAAAGTACAGCAATGCAGACAGGATGCAGCTGGAGAGTGGCTGTGGTACAGGTGGCTTTGCCTGCTAGCAGAGCGTGGTTGGCAATTACCCACTGGTGATCCATTTAAATAAAAGGGTATTTCAGCTTCAGTTCATACAAGTGCAATAGAAAGAAACTGCTGCCATCTGAATCTGCCCTCTGACAATTTACTGGCTGTAATGAAAAGTCCCAGCCTGATGACCTCACAGAGCAAGCTTCCTGAAATTTAGAGCGAGAGGAGTTGCCTTTGGACAACTGAGTAGCCACAGCTACCCTTTCCTGTGAGTAAGCTGGGAGGGAATGGGGGAAAACCTGTTCTTATCCACAGGAGAGCAGAGAGCCAGGCCTCTCACTCAGCCATAGGGAAGTGCCAGTTAGGGGGTGCCAGACCTGGATGGCAGCCTATTTTGCTCAGTGTTACCTGCCTGCTGTCCCCACTCCCTCCCCTCCTTCAGCTGGTGTAATAGACATGAAAGAAGAGAGTCTTGTTGCGTAGGAGGGAGTAGGAGTTGTCAAATTTGAGCAGGTAGATGCCCTCGCCCGGGTAGTCATGACTGCCTGCCTGCACATCCCGGTGACTGTCCCTTCGGTACACGGGCATGATCTCCCGATAACGGTTTCGTAGAGAGCTTTTAGAGCCCCTCTCCACATCTCCAACTGGGGTGAGTCCTGAGTGGGAGAGAGGAGACAAGCAGACTCAGACAAACCAACAGAGGGGAAATGATCAATAAGGCATGGTTACCGGACATGAGACATGAGATCTAGCTAACGAAGACTGGCTGAGATACCCACCCTGTCCAATGCACAACCTAAAGTCTCTCCACATAGGAGACCTGCTTTGAGAGGGGGCACTCTTTGGGACTGATACACTGGGGAATAGTTTGAATTCCCTCCTTTTCCTCTTCACCCAGTAGACACCTTTAAACAGCAGGGTCTCCTCAAGGTGGCCCAATGCCAGAGAGAAATTGATTGTGGGTAGAGGAATGCAATGGAGAGTTTCACCTCTGGCCTTGGTGGTCTCTCAGTCTTCCCTTCTACTTCTCCAAGAGGAATTCTTCTCAGTGGGGCTCAATTTCAGTCATCACTGGTCCGGAGATGGGACCTGCATTGGTCCTGAGACTCCCTAAACCTTCTAGGCTACAGATACTCCAAGGACATGGGCAGCATGCCCTCTGGGTGCAATCAACAAGAGCTACTGATACGGTGAGAAAAACACTACTCTCCACCCAGCAATTGCATCGGCATCGCAATCTGTTAGGCTGATGATCAAAGAGTTAAGTCAGAATCTCATACTTTACCCTGATCCTGTTACAAGTTAGAAATTGATCATGCAGTAGAAAACAGAGTGGGAGCAAGTGTTCAATGTTCAATATGCAAGGATATGTGGTGTTATTGGTGGAGCATACACCTGGGGTCGGGGAGAAGAGCAGCCATTAGGAAGGGTCTTCTCTTTGTGACCTAGCTTGGAACTCCAAAAAGGTTGCAGTCAACATGTAGGTTGACTAGCCAAAGTGGTGAGGAATTACAGTACCTGATTTGGAGGTACTTGGGTACCATGGTGATGAACACAATATTAATTTATCTTGTAAAGTTTTGCACTGACCTTCAATCTCATCTTCTTCCTCTTCATCTTCCTCATCACTTGATTCACTGACCTGCACAGTAATGGCAGTACTGGTGACAGGAGTCCAGTCAAAGTAGACCCCAAAGCCAATGTCATAATCATCCGTAGCAAACTCCCAGCAAACACGCTTCCCATCTGGGTGTGTTGGCACCCGGACTGTCACTACTTCACCCCGTTTCACCACCAACTGAGCATTCTTCTCCTTTCCCATTTTGGCTTTAAATTCCCTTATCTTGCAAGTGGTCCAAGTGGAGGGTGGAGCCAGAGGAGGAGGCTGAGCTGAAAAATACAAGACAAGCCACTCATCACTGGTCAGAAGGCAACCAGAGAGAGTTCTGCTAACAAGACGGCTATTCTGGATAAAGCTCTTGAACTCCAATCTTTACCTTCCATCTCCTCTCAAGGCGAGGACAAGTGCCTTCCATTAGCACTGCTGTCAGAACTGGACATACTACTCTCTTGGTTTTCCCTTCCAACCTTCTTCCCTCCCTCCAGAACTTGCAAAGCCATTCCTGTGAATTATCTGGTTATCTAGAGACAGAGTCAGACTGCAAAAGTTAGTTACAGGCCTAACTGAAAATTCCATCCCATCAAGTGCATTGCACAATACCCCAACACCTCAGCTCCACCTATGGCTTAACTCTGCTGCTTCCACACAGACACCCAATAGTAGCAGGCAGAGTTACTGGGCACCACAGCATTATGACATAGCCTAAGCAACCAGATAGAAACCAACTAGCATCATGCATACATGCAGAAACTGCCTCCTCAGCTGATCCAAAGCCTATGTAATTCAATCCAACATTCATAAGAATGGAGAAGTGGGAGGGGCTCCCATGGCTTATTCTTCACACCCAGATGCATAATCTCATGACTCATGGGGCTTATCTATGAGCCCTCTGAATTTCCCACTGATTTAGCTCCACCAGTGGAAGTGCCAATGTAGATAAGGTACTGGTGTTTTCCCCACTACGTACAGACTTGCTCTGAACAGGGTTATAAACGACGACACCTCACTGACACTAGAAGTTCTACTCTCGCTACCACGGAGGGGAAATTCTAAGAAAAACTCCATAGACCACCCTGAAGGAGTAACTCCACATGCATCCAAATGCCAACCATGGAGCACACCACACATTATCCTCCCTCACTAGTCTGGTCTTCTTTAAAGAGATGATGCTAGGTCAGGGGGATACTATCTTGGGCTTATGATGGCAAGAGACATCTTGAGTTCTGAAAGGGCAGCAGAGAGAAGAGATAACAGCAGCAGTCCTGATGCTATTACCAGTCCCCTTTCTAGTTCAAAGGTTTCCACAAACATCCAAGTATCTCCTAAACACCTTGGATAGTCAGCCATTGCATAATTTATTTTAGATCTATTCTCTTTCAAGCTAGGATCTATTACCAATCTCACAGGTCATTTGTCTGTAGCCCTTCCTCCTGCTCAGTCTTCATGTGCAGAGGGGAGAGAGGGAGAAGGAGAGAGCATGCGCACGAGAACGAACACAGTATCTTGCACTAACATGCCCTCCTCTGCTCTGTCTGTTCCTAGGTTTCTCTATGGCCTATTTGATAGCTCACCCACCAATTCACCTGCCCTGACACACAGCAGGATCCAGTCTGTTCTAAATGCAAACATGGGATTCCCATTAAATGCTGTATTGAGTAACACTCAGGCATTGACAGGAGAAAGGACCTCACTAAGTTCCTTGCTCTCAGCTTCCTATTCACAGATCTTCTCACCCCTGTGTCTGTGAGCTAAGATTCATAAAGAGGAGGAGGGTTTGTTTTTAAACCGCTTTACTTAGGGCTTGTCTTCACTACCAGGGTAAGTAGACCTAAATTACGCTACTCCAGCTATGTAAATAAAATAGCTGGAGTCAATGTAGTTTAGGCTGACTTACCACGGTATCTTCACTGCGCTGCACCAACAGTACCTTACTCTTCTCGGGGAGCTGGAGTACCAGGGTCAACCAGAGAGTGCTCTGTCAATTTAGCGGGTCTTCACTAGACCCGCTAAATCAATCCCTGCTGCATCGATTGCAGCAGCATAGATCATAGTGAAGACAAACCCTTAGAAATGTTTCAGCAGATGCACACTCTAAAGCAGAGGTGGGCAAACTTTTTGGCCTGAGGGCCACACATTGGGTTTCTGAAATTGTATGGAGGGACAGTTAGGGGAGGCTGTGCCTCCCCAAACAGTCAGGTGTGGCCCAGCCCCCCGCCCCCTATCCGACCCCTCCTGTTTCTCACCCCAACAGCCCCCCCCAGGACTCCTGCCCCATCCAACCCCCCTTGTTCCCTGTCCCCTGACAGCCCCCCCAGGACCCCTGCCCCATCCACTCCTCCCTATCCCCTGACTGCCCCCACCCCAAACTCCCCTGCCCTCTATCCAACCCCCTCTGCTCCCTGCCCCCTTACCGCGCTGCCTGGAGCACCGGTGGCTGGAGGCGCTACAGCCATGCCGCCCCAGCTGGAGCCAGCCACACCACCGTGCAGCACAGAGCACTGGGTCAGGTCACGGCTCTGCAGCTGCGTGGCCTGGCAAGAGCTCACAGCCCTGCTGCCCAGAGCATTGCGCCAGCGGTACAGTGAGCAGAGTCTGTGTGGGAGGGGGAACAGCAGGGGAAGGGCTGGGGGCTAGATCCCAGGCCAGGAGCTCAGGGGCTGGGCAGGAGAGTCCCACAGACCGGAAGTGGCCTGTGGACCATATAGTCTGCCCACCTCTGCTCTAAAGAGATGGGTAGTTGAGGAGGGGGTATAAGATGGTCCCACATGGGAGGTTAGGTACTCAATGGCAATGAGTGCAGAGCACTGGAGAAGGAAAATAATATTAAGTGATGTGACATGTCCAAAAGCTACTTAAAGCAGTGACTTGTCCAGGGCCACCGACAAATCAATGGCAAAATCGCTCAGGAATCCTGAATAGGAGTCCCCTACTCTAGCCACCAGACCACTCCCAGTGATACAGAGCTGGTAACGTATAGTAGACTGCCTCTGCCCACCCTATTGAAGGAGAGCATCCACAGTTCCAATCCTGCTGCCACATGAGATCTGTGTGTACAGGCCTCATTCCTACCCAAAGGAAATATTACCATCGCAGTCCTCACCTTTTCTCTGCTCACCAAGGAGGTCTGCAGTCTCCAGCTCTGCAGAGAGGACATCCACTGCACCTGTGTGTTCTGACTGTATCATGACTATATCCCCTGGTCCTTGTGAGGCACGGTACTTGGTCATCCGCACTACGGCCTCCTGTGCAGGGCACATAAGCAAGTTCCTCAGTGGCTCTGGGGGCCTCCAGTTGGATTTTAAATGGTTTGTCAGGGATTGAGGGAGAAGAAGGAGCCATTTTCATGAATTCACATCAATTTCCCATTGGGTTTCTGCTATAAGTATAAAATATTTACTAAATAACTGGCTGGCTCAGAGGACAGTTTCTGTGCATGGTCTTCTCTGCCTCCAAAACTGTGAAACTCTTGAGTCAAATGCTGCACTGTGCTAGCAACCACTGGTCTCCCAAGGAAGCATCATCTCCACAGACAGATAAGTCTAGCTATTTGCACTGCCTCAAAGTTTGGGGGCTATCATTGCTTTATTTGGTAAAAGATTTCAGATCTACCCAGATGCCCTCTCAAGTGCTGAAGCTGCTCCAGTTCTAGGAACCAGCCTCTTCAGTTTTCCCAGTACTTAGACTGCAATCACAATTAAACAGATGCCTACTATGAACTTGTTAAAACTGTTGCCCAGATTAACACAGTGCTGCCAATTCCCCCTTCTCACATAGGCAGATACAGAGCTTACAGACCAAGAGTATTATTACACGATGTCTCTCCAAAGCTGTATTTGAAATTACCAGGAGCTGTTTGTTCCCTGAAAGAACTAACACACTGCTTCTTCATCACCACCACCCCAAAAAAAATTGACTATATTAGTTTATTTAAAATTCACAGGAACTCCCTGAAACCCTAGACAAAAGCCAGTAGCCGAGAACAGTCTCGAAGCCTTAGGAATGGTGGAAACTGAAAGGGAGCAAAGACTGGTCCAATACACCGTGGGCGAGAGAGACATTCTGAGTTTTAAAGGTTAGATTATCACTGTTAACTCCCTCATTGCGCAAAAACAGCCATAACTAAATGCTCAGAACCCCAGTTCCTCATGTACAGGCTCAGCAGCAGATGGGAAAAGCACTGCAGCATCTTGGTCTCTCCTTTCAGAAATAAAAGTGGCAAGTCACCTACCTCCCTGGGGGGCTGGATCTGGTGGTCAGCCAGCTTCTCTCCTTGTCCAGCCACTTCCTGGTCCTCTGATGTACCATCACTTTTTCTAGAATCCTCTGCAGCATGCACATTCACAGGTGATCCAATCTGCGGCCTCTCAGAGAAAGATAGCACATCAATTCAAGATGCTTGAAGAACAGGAGACACTGAGCCAGGTGGGCCAAGGACAGGTGATGAACCACCCCACTCAGGGGCTGGAATGCAAATAAACTAAGGGAACTGGGCTTCCTAGAGCCAGCATTCACTGCATTAAAACAAGACGCTCTCTCTCAACCAAGGTCCACTCTCAGCCCCAGACGGCTGTCCTCTTTAGCTCATCCAAGCCAGAGTGAGCAACTTTCCTGAGCTCACTCCCCATTTATAGTCCCTTAGGTAGCAGTAATTCACTCCAACTGAGCCCAGCCACACTCCTTTCATAGAAGGGCTACTTCGCTAACATTGCACTGACGGCAGGGATCAGTGGTAGCATCTCAGAGAGAAGTAACTCTCTCCCTGCTAGGCACTGGATGGCATCTATATACCCCTCACACAGGTCATCTATATCAGAGACAAGACTTCAAACAGATCACGTTTTGAGAACACCGTAACTCTGCTACAGATAATCAACAAGTGTTAATATGGTTGCATCCCTGCTCCTCCTGTACAGAGTGCTGAATCTGGCAAGCCATAAGCCATGCCACGGTAACAAACTAACAATCACAAATGCAGGATTAGGACCTCTCCACAAGAAGAGATAATGGGAGGAGGGAGGGAGATCTTTTAGTCAAACCTGGAAAGCTACAACAGCAGCAAGAGAAACAGAACAGCAAAGCAATAGCCTCCTGCATGCATATTGCCTATTCATCCCTACATCCTGAAATTCCCCTCTAAATTACTATGTCATCGCAGCACCCCTGCCCATCCCTGAAAAAAGTCAATTATGCCAACTGAGATTAAATAATCCTAGCTACTAATCCAGGATGGGGTTAAAGAACCACCCTTACTCTTAGGCACTAAATGTAGCTTTCATGAAAAGAAACTTCAAGTCTAGTAGGAATAGAAACAGTCTCTTTTAAAAGACATAAAACCTTTGCCTGCAGCAATGGAAATCCAAAGCCAGCCACCTTGGTTTACCATATGAGAAACAGATCAGCACCAGGCTAGCTCCATGCAAAGCACCAATGGTAGAAAGCAAGTGAAGTTTTCAGTTTTAGGAATATGAAGTGCTTTGACTAATGCTGGGACAGATTGTTCCAAGCTACATTGGAAGTGTCTAATAAAAACAGAATAGTCCAGATGCTTTCTGTACTGTTTCTGTAACTAAAGAGAAGGCTGGAAAAGACAGACATGACTGTCCTTTCCGAAACTGAACTCCCTTGAGGATGCAACCTTGGACCCTAAAACAGAAAACTAAAAACTAATTAAATTTTCTTAATCTCATTTTTTGTTGATAGAAAGGGAATGTCTCACCACCAGTTTCCACTAAAAGAGTGGTTCACATGAGCCGATTGTCAGGATACAAAGATAACCCTACTAGGTTGCCGAGCAAAAAAAGTTTAAAAAGGGACCCTTTAAATATATTTTTGTTACAAAACTTAACTATTTATAGCCATGCTTTTGGAAGCCTGAATCAGAAATCTTCCACTATGTTTTCTTTTCAAAAGAACAGGTGTGTGGCACAGACCTAGCTGGAGTTCAATCTCATTCTAGCACACATGAATGCTACATAACCTGGTAGGTGGGTCCAACAGGTCAGGTTCAGTGTTCCCCACAAGGCTAAGCCCTGGCTGGGATGATTTAGTTGGGGATTGGTCCTGCTTTGAGCAGGGGGTTGGACTAGATGACCTCCTGAGGTCCCTTCCAACTCTGATATTCTATGATTCTAAGGTGCTGGGGCTGACTTTGAATTTTTTGAAAAAAAAAACAGCACTGAAGGCTTTGGATTTTGTGGAGAGGGTGAAAAGAGTTGCAGAAAATTTGTAATCAGATTTAAGAGAAGAAAGTAAGTCAGCTCCCCCTTCAAGCCTCTTTCATATTGCCCACTACCCTCTTCCCTTAAAAAAAAAAACAAAAAAAACCCACCCCCCTCGGACCTTAAACAGATTTATCAGGAAACATTCACATGGGTTTAAAACATAGGTTGGCATTTTACTTAATGCCCAACTAGTTTCTCTGAAGAAAATTAAATTCCATAATTACCTAAAATATATGATAAAATCAGATTAAAGCAAAAGCCTGTTTGGAGCCAACTGGGCTGCTGTACAGTCTCTCTGGATGAAACTGTAATTATGAAGGCAGCAGGAATCTCAGTCTCTCCTGTGCTTCAGATTTCATTAGCAAAGCCAGGATTACCTCAAATTGTGTTTTTTGTGAGGGATTTTTAAAATGGAGGACACTAACAACTGCTGAGACCCAAATTTTGATCTATTTAACTCATCTGTTTCTGAAAGTTTTTATGAGTGTGTTGGGGGGGTAGGGGAGAGTGTTATTTTTGGGCGGAGGAAAGGGAATGTTAAAACAAAACCTTCAACAGTTTTAGAGAAAAGCTGAATGTGTGCAACTCTAATGTTCACAAGCACCCCAACAAAAGCCAGGATGCATGCACACAAATGCTCATCAGCAATCCTTCAATAATAAACCAAACAACTGATATTCAGAGTATAAAATGTACTGAAAAAGCAGCAGCAAAAAAGTAGGTTTCCGATCCAGCTTCCCTGGGGATTAGATACAGAAAGAATATTTTTTAATTAAAAATATCCTTCAGCCAGAGCTCAGACAATTTCCTGTTGGAAGTTAGTTAGCTCTGTGATCCAAAAAGCCTGAGGTGAGTCATGGGTTACATTTTACAAGCATTTTATAAGCATTAAATTAAAAGCATTTTACAAGCATTAGATTTTATAAGCATTAAAATAACCCAAAGTCAAGAAGAATAGCTCTTCCAATATAGTCTACAGTGTACAGAACCTGAAAACAGAAAGTTGAGTCTCCGATGCCCTGGAGAGGAACAGCTGCCAGACACCACTGATAGAGAAGGAGGTGGGGGAGAGACCTATTATCCTTCATTTCCTTGACGTTGGGGAACATTTAATGTGGGTCATCACACAAAGATCTTTTCCTACCTGCACTGTGAGGTCTCGGACTCTGATGAGGTGACTGTCTGGGATGCAGATGCCGGTTTGGGGGCTGAATCTTCATCTTCTAGCAATGGGTGGAAGATGGAGAGAAGATTAAACAGCTTTTAACCTTTGAGAATGTGCAGGCAATAAAGCAAAACTCTAGTTATCCAGAGTCACCAAGGTCATGCAGCCTTGGCGCTTAAAGCTGGGCCTGGCAACCTTCTGTATTATATGTTGTCCCTCCCCCGCAGAGAAAAAGGGTTTTTAATGCTTTCAGTGGCCCTAAGTGGAAGGGAAAAGATAACACAGTTTCTGACACAAGACATAGGGATCAATCAAAACAAGCTTCTGTTCAGATGTAGGCTCTAGGTTTGCCCCTAGTCTCCTGAACAAGCTCTGTCCCCACATGACTCCAGTGCATGCTCTACAGCAGAGGTGGGAAAACAACGGCCCGTGGGCCGCATCCAGCCCACGGGACTGTCCTGCTCGGCCCCTGAGCTTCTGGCCAGGGAGGCTAGGCCCCAGCCCCTCCCCTGCTGTCCTCCCTTCCCTGCAGCCTCAGCTTGCCATGCTGCCAGCACTCTGGGTGGTGGGGCTGCAAGCTCCTGCCGGGCAGCATAGCAGCATGGCTGGCTCCAGCCAGGCAGCGCAGCTGCCAGTCCTGCTGATCTGAGCGGCATGGTAAGGGGGCAGGGAGTCCCAGGGGGCAGCAAGGGCCAGGGAGTGGTTGGATAGGCATGGGAGGCCTGGGGGGCCTGTCAGGGGGCAGAGGTGTGGATAGGTCAGGGCAGTCAGGGGACAGGGAGCAGGGGGGTTGGATAGGGGGTGGGGTCTCAGGTGGGGCAGTCAGGGGACAAGGAGCAGGGAGGGTTGGATGGGTCAGGGGTTCTGACAGGGACAGTCAGGGGGCAGGGGCCAGGGTGTTGGGGAGGCACAACCTTCCCTACCTGGCCCTCCATACAGTTTCGGAACCCTGATGTGGCCCTCAGGCCAAAAAGTTTGCCCACCCCTGCTCTACAGTCTTGCTGTCTGCTTCCATTACCCATAGAAGATAGTTAATTGGGCATGGACAGGCTCCCAATTACACAGATTTTTAAAGTTCCACATTACAGTAGGAATTCTCTTCTACTTGGTTTAAACAGAGGGAATTTGGTGCTGGTGAAAGACAGCAGATTAATAGCCCCATACATTAAAGGCCTCTGATCCACAGAACAGGTACAGTTCAAGCAGCATACCCCATCGCCAACATTCTGCAACCTGACCTATAGGGACTGCTTTTAAAGATGAGAAACTCTAGGCAGAAGAGAGGGATGGGCTTTAGACAAGAACGAACAAGGGGACTAATTAGTACCAGGGTAGTGAGGTATTTGTTTTGTTGCTTTACGCATTTTTCCACCAAGAAATGAATTGAAACCCCACTATCCCAAGCGTATATTTTGTTTGGGTATAGGATCCAAATAAATATTCATCTTTATGCTCATTAATGATCTGTTCTCTGATCATTTAGAAAAAAAAGCAAGATGTTAAGAACCTTTCATTGGAAGGTACACTCATTAAAGTATATTATATTTGAGACATGAATAAGCCTCAAAATCTGAGGAGTGGTAAGACTTGTGTAACAGGGAGAAGTAATTCTGTTCACTCCAACTTTATAAATAGAGCAATAGACAAGGCTGATTTTTGAACTTATTGCTCATGCGTTCCTATTCCGGCCCCCTAAGAGTCTCCAAGGGAGAGTACCTAAAAGGAACTACAATGCCTAGAAAGACTGTTTTAACAGCCTAGATCTCAGTTGCTACAGAATACAGCAGGAAACAATACTTCATGCCCCTCCCCCTGAAACAGATTAGAGGGAACCTAGCAGATCTTTTATATCTGTCATTCTCATGATTCAACAACTGTTGAAGTTACTGCACAGCTAGAACTTCTCTTCTACCTGGTAACCAACGTGAGAACATTTTACTGCCAACTGCTGGAGAAAATATGGCCTGAAAAAGCAACAGCCAGCAAGATTGCGTGTCATATGACTCAATTTGGCAGTGATAGACAAGTTAAATCAGGCAAGCTCCATGCTCCTGATTCTGGTTGTGGGGAGAAATTTTTCATCTGGTGATCTGACACAGAATTACAAAATGCTTCACACAGTTATGATCTAAAAGAGATAAGGAAGTTTTTAAAGGGGACATTAAAGGAGAAGTAAACTAGGGAAGAGAACATGCCTGAAGTTCTGGAGAACTAGAGGGAGGTCATAGATATTACTGGGTTTAGATACTGTAGTAAACACCTTATGCAGAAATGCCTATAACAAAATAAAGAGAGACAAGGATGAGGTAATATAATTTTATTGGACCCACTTCTTGTGTTGAAAGAAACAAGCTTTTGAGCTTACACAGAGCTCTTCTAAAGGTCTGAAGAAGAGCTCTGTGTAAGCTTAAAAGCTTGCCTCTTTCCCCAATAGAAGTCAGTCCAATAAAAGATAAGACCTCACCCACCTTGTCTCTCTCATATCCTGGAACCAACATGGCTAAAACACCATTGCATATAACAAAATAAGGAAGTTGAGACCAAGACAGCAGATAGGAAGGTGGCGGTGGGAAGAGAACGTTCCTCCTACACATATAGTAATAAGCCACCCACTCGACAGAGTCAGCGAGAAAACAAACATCCCAAGGTTTGCTCTCAAGGATGCCATAGACATTCTCTATGTGTGCTTCAAAGGAGAAATAACTTCTAGACTCACAGGCCCTTCAAAGTGAGGCCCAGCATCCTATCCTCTTGAGGTGACACATGGGATGTGGTCACCAGCTAACACCCAACTCCATAGTTGCTTAGGTACCACAATGGCAGGTACCTTTGATTTCACATCAAGTATTAAACATTTTGCATGTCTACAGTGCATTTTACAGGATACCACTGTGCCAGTCAAACATTTAATAAATCTCATAAGCCCGGGGGGAAAGGTCAGGATTACTAGCCACATTTTTCAGATGAAAAAAGTGAGGCAAAGAGGGCAACTGGCTTACTCAAGGTTATGCAGTAAATCAGTGGCAAAAATGTAATTAGAACCCAGGAATCTCAAGTCTTAACCCTACACTAAACAGTGCTGCTTTTTAAAAAACAAACTTAATTGGTTCCCTATAATGAGCTGTATTGCTGTGTTAGTCTAAAGATTGTAGTGGAATCTTTACTGGTCTCCAGGCACCAAAGTGCTAGGAACTTAAGCAAATCAAAGTTATTATTATCTCCCTTACATGAGGCAATGCTTACACCATAATACATTTCTCTAAATATAAAGCAGCTGGTACACTAGGGAACAGAGAAACAACCCAGTACCCTTAGGGATAGAGGCTGTTGGAAACCAACTACTCAAAAACAACTGTATCAATCAAGAGGCAAGTTAGATCTTGGTCTATGCTTAACAGTTATGTCGGTATTGGTACATCAGTGAGGGGTGTGGAAAAACCCCAGTATAGTTTCAGCTATGATGGAAAAGAGCTTCTATGGAGATAGACAATGTGGTTAGGGGAGATATGTTCCTACACTGACAGGAAGGCTTCTTCCATAGGCTGTGTCTACACTAGTGGAGCATGTCAGCATAGGATCTGTAGTGTAAACATATCCTAGGGGGCTGTGCTGACATAGCTATACCATCACAGGCTACACAGTGTAGACATACCCTTAGACCTCAGAAGAGGTCAGCAGCAGCTTTCTTAACCTCTTCCCAAGACCTCAGCCAAATCGGCTCTCAAGATGGGTACTGAAAACAGTGTGCTATGCTAGGAGGCTGGAAGTAGCAGCCGCAGAAAGCTCCGATTTTGCAGCAATAGCTTAACTGGAGTAAAAGCAGACTATCTTGTTACTGGCTGTAACTCTCCTAAGTCCCCTTGGGAAGCTCCCACTCCCAGCCCACTCTCCCTATTGCTGCTCCTTGTGGTGTACCAGGCGCTGTACTCCCTCGGCTGCCTGGCAAGCACTACAGGTCCCCCCTAGGCGAGGGGGAGAGATGGAGGGAGGGAAGGAACCCCGTCAAGCCGCGGTGCTCTCGCGGGGAGGCGCCGCCACACCCCGCGCACACGAGTCCCAGCTGCACAGCGAAGGCTACGCACACAGCTCAGCTGGTGTCCCCCAGCCGCGGCCTGCAGCCCTGCCCCACAGCAGCTCCTCCAGCCCCCGTGCGCGGCGGCCAGCACACCCGAGGGACCGGAGCGGGAAGAGCCCGCGCCCCGGGGTCCGTGTGCGGGGCACGCGTCCCGGTGCGCCCCCGGTACCTGGAGTCTCAGACGGTGAGCGGCGGCCCTGCGCGTCCCCCTCTGACACGGAGCAGCTGCGGCCCCTCGGCTCCCCAGCCGCGGGGGGCTCGAAGCAGGAGCCGGCGGCAGCCACCAGCACCTCCGACATGGGCAGCCGACGCGCGAGGACGAGGCGGCGGAAAGATCCGAAGCTGTCAGCAGCGGGCAGAGGCGGAAACGGCGGGAAGAGCCGAGCCTGGGGCGGGAGCTGACCGCCTGGGCGCCTATCGCCCGGCCTGGGCCTTCCCTCGGGCAGTTCCGCGGCGCGAGGGTAGCGGCGGGAGCGGGCTGCTCGGCACGGCGGCGCTTCGCTCACACAGGGGGCCGGGCCCGGCGGGGGAGGAAGTAGCTGCCTGACGCCCGGAAGTGGAGGTCTCCGTGGAGACTGTTCCGACGCGTTGCTATGGCTCCATGGCGGGGCGTAGCCGCCCAGGATGGAGCAGGTCCCGGAGGAGGAGAGGTCCGGGGGGCCAGGGCCTGAGCCCGGATCCGAGCCCGAAGAGTCCGAGTCCGAGTCCCAGCCTGGCCCGGCCTGCCTCGCCTGGAGCCCCGTGGAGGTGGCTGAGTGGGTTCGGCAGCTGGGCTTCCCCCAGTACGAGGTGAGGGGCAGGGGCCGTGAGCTAGGTGAGGGGGGCGCTGCGCGGCCAGCTGCAGGCTCAGAGGGGGGCGAGCTCGGACTGTTACTAACCCCGCTCGCGGTGCCATCGCTGAGCTCCCTCTAGGCCCGAGCTGGAGAGCAATTCCCCCTTCCCTTGCTCCGCCTTGCGGCCTGGCAGCGCCCCTGAACCTGGCATCAAGAGCACTCAGGATCTCTGCGTTCTTGGAAAACTCAGGGCAAGTTTCTAGCCCTGGTGGTGGCGGAGAAGACCTAGGAAGAGTGAGGCCAGCGTCCCGCAAAGGCTCAGAAACCAGAAGGGGGGAAAGCCCTTATTTTTAAAGATCTCATTGCTTTTAAGCCAGTCTCCTGATTGGGCAGCGGGGCGGCTGACTAATGTTGGTTTTTGAATGCTTGGGGTTGGCAGTACTGCTCACTGCTGTATAGTGTTTCCATCTGATTTTCCTGCCAGGAGTGCTTTACAACTAACTGCATCACTGGCCGCAAACTCATCCATGTTAACTGCTCAAACCTGCCACAGATGGGCATAACAGACTTTGACCACATGAAGGTGAGTGCCACACACAGAGTTGCCTTCCTCCATTAGGAGTGTTTATGATTTCCCATCCCATCTCCTACATGTTCATGTTTGTTCTCTGACTACATCAAGTAAGATGTAACACTGCTCCGTCTCTGTTAATGATAATAGCAGGATCTAAACACTCATGCTCAATAGGACAACTAGAACCTGCCCAAGACCTGATGCTTGGATGGATGGATGTACATAGAATGCAACAATATTTTCCTCCGAACGACGGGGCACACTGTTCTGCCTACAGTAAGAATCTTTCTGAAGCTTCATGTAAAACTCAAGATGAACCCTGACCCCAAATCTTTTATGAAGTTCAGAAAAGTTGTATTTAAAAAAAAAATTATTTCCATGCCTTTATGCCCATCTGGTTTCCATATAGGACCTGAGGCAGAAGGGCCACAAAGGAGAAAGAAAGCCTGCTGTGGCAGTACTTCCTGTGTGTGCACAAGTAGGAAACAACAGAAATCTTGCCCAAACACTTGTTTGTTTGACAATTACAACCCAGCTTTGGAGACACAGTGATTCTTGACTGCATTACACTGGTTTTGTGTGGTGTAATTTTTCTGAAGTCAATGGAAGCTCACTAGTGTAAAAGTGATTTAAGAATGGAGAAGCAGGGTCAGGTAGTTTGGATCTGCACCTGCATTTCTGGGTGCTTAGTCCAACCTCTCCAGTATTTTGCCCACCTTTGTCCTACCACTTAATGAAGAGATGTGTATATAGGGGGGAAATGGTCTACAAAATCCTAATTTTTAAAATTAACAAACTAGTCTTCACTAATTAAAACTGTACAAAAATCCCCATCTAAAGGATCCCAAAATCAGCTAATAAGGAAGGACTTTTTACTTGCTACATTGGGGATGGACAGAGGCCTCACCTTCTTATGCAGCCTCACAGGAAATGTTCCATGGTTCAAGGTTCCATGTTCCCTCCCAAATGGTCAGAGCCTTTCTAGAGGGTTCTGAGCTTATATGGAGGATGTTGGCACAGCCCAACGCTAGGAATGTGTACTGATAATACTCAAAAGAGAACTTTGAGAGCTTTGAATGAAAGGCATCAGAGAACTGCAAATTGATGTTAAAGATTTTTGCCCTCCCTAATGAGATACTCTTTGTGACAAATACTACAGAAGAATATTCAAACACTACTCTATTAATGTTATATGTATCTTTATGGGCATGCTAGTGATTGTAAACCTGGCTAAATGGGTCAGACAAGGAATGCTTCCTGCAGGAACTAAAATCTCTGGCCAGGGAGGGGGTGAAATTAATTCAACTCCACAATACTGGAACAAGTCTTTTGAAGTTTCACACTCTCCTCGTCGTGCCCTTCTCCCCACAATAACAGATTGGTTTGACCTGGTTCAAAAGGCCTAAAACAACAAAGGACTTGAAACTGTATAAAATATAAACTCTGGCCTAAAGAGAGGTCACTCACATGCTATCGAAGAATTGACAGGCATGTTGACTATGTCCAAGAGAGACAGGCCCTGCTGTGGACTGAAGTGGAAGTGGAAGGTGGGTGACCACCTGCTAAGCCAGGCATACATATAAGCTGTTTGTTGTTGACTTTTTCTGAAACACTTTTTTTCTGAATAAATGGTACATTGTTTTATGAAAGCTGGCTGGTCACTGAATAACCGTGTCATTGCTCCTGAGAGAGCAGAACTGCAGGTGCTGAACTGAAGTAAGACTGACTGAGATGATCATAAAGAAGTGCAGGAATCTGCAGCCTAAGACCCCGTCTGGAGGGAGCAAATCATGGGATTTCACCCCAGGAAAGGTGATTCCTAGAGACCTAAGACTGATGTGGAGCGCCTCTGAGGAGGCCACAAGGGGTTCAGATGTACAGTTAAATCAGAAACTCTGATACTGCTATCCCCATTTCACAGCTTTGAAACAGGGTTGTGAGAGAGGAAAGAAGTTGCCCAGAGTCATGTTGCAAGTCTGAGGTATCCTGTCTCTATCTTGTGCTTTAACCATCAGGCTCTTCTTTCCTCACTTTCAATCCGTGGCTGAGAAACTAATATTGACTTAAATAATAACATTCAAGTGCTCCAGCAGGGGAAATGCAGTAAAAAGTTAACCTGGTAAAACGTTAGCTATAATTGAATGTGACTATGTTTTCTGTATGCCCAACCAAAATACATTGCCTAAGCCAGCAGAGCCCTTAACAGAATAAGGGGAAGTTTTTCTAAGACACACATAGAATCATACGAGTGGAAGGAACCTCAAGTGGTTATCTAGTAGTCCAGTCTCCTGCACTCATGGCAGGATTAAGTATTATCTAGACCATCCCTACACCCAGAACCGGACACACTGCTCCAGTTGAGGCCTAATCAGTGTGGAGTAGAGCAGAAGAACTACTTCTTGTGGCTTTCTTATAACTCTCCTGCTAATGCAGCCCAGAATGATGTTTGCTTTTTTTGCAACAGTGTTACACTGTTGACTCATATTTAGCTTGTGATGCACTATGACCCCCAAATCCCTTTCGGCAGTACTCCTTCCTAGGCAGTAATTTCTGATTTTGTATGTGTGCAACTGATTGTTCCTTCCGAAGTGGAGTACTTTGCATTTGTCCTTATTGAATTTCATCCTATTTATTTCAGACCATTGCTCCAGTTTGTCCAGATCATTTTGAATTTTAATCCTATCCCCTAAAGTACTTGCAACCCCTCCCAGCTTGGTATAATCCACAAACTTTATAAGTGTAACCTCTATGCCATTATGTAAATCATTGATGAAGATATTGAATAGAACTGGACCCAGAACTGACCCTTGCAGGACCCCACTTTATATGCCCCTCTAGCTTGACTTGTGAACCACTGATAACTACTCTCTGGGAATGGTTTTCCAACCAGTTATGCACCCACCTTACTGTATCTCCATCTAGGTTGTATTTCCCTAGTTTGTTTATGAGAAGGTCATGCGAGCCAGTAACAAAAGCCTTACTAAAGTCAAGAGATACCACATCTACCACTTCCCCTCTACTCCCAAGGCTTGTTACCCTGTCAAAGAAAGCTATTAGGTTGGTTTGACACTATTTGTTCTTGGCAAATCCATGCTGACTATCATTTATCACCTTATTATCTTCTCAGTGTTTGCAACTTGATTGCTAAGTCACCCTATTCCCATTACTTATATAAAGCTGAGCCCCTAGCTGTCTTCCTTTTCAGGGGTTTTAACTGAGGTTTTTACATAATCAAGTGAACAGAAAACAGGACAGCGAGCCTGGATCTTGTGAGTTCTGGCTCTGCCACTGACTCTGTGTAACCTTGAACAAGTTCCTTAACCCAGATTTTTCAAAAGTGGGTATTTAAACATAGACATTCAATTCCATATTGTTAGGCACATAAGTGATCTGAGTGCCACATGTGCTTATTGTGAGCTGCGTCTGTTTAAATCATTCAGCACCTCTGAAAATCACGTAACTGATTTAGATGCCTAACTTTAAACACCTGAGTTGGAAAATTTGGGCTACAACCTCTCTTTACATCAGTTACCCACCTGAAAAATCCTTTCCCAATCTCATAGCGAGGCTGTGGGGATTGTTTGAAAAGGACTTTAAACCCACTAGGCATACTTATTCTTTGACTGCATGTGTATGTTGCCTTCTTTGTCACATAAAGAGCTGGCTGGCTGCATCCTCGTGAGCTAGAGGGTACTGAACTTCAAATGGGCCACAGGCTGCTTTTGCAGAGCCATAACAATTTTGTTTTAAATCTTCATTATTTATGGTTGCCTCCATCACAGGGCACGATCTGGAAATTCAAAGAGTTTGCAGCTCACAAGCAACAAGAGATAAAATCTTTATGCACTGTGGCAGGAATTTGAACATTGTGTTCTTTATGCTGTAAAGCACCAAGCATTTGGGCCAATCTTAACTCTTGACTGGCTGAATGGTTCTAACCCTTTAGTTCTAATGTACAGTCAGAGCAAAATGAACTTGGGGTAATATTTTTAAAAGCACCTAGGTGAGTTAGGAATTTATGTCCCATAGCTTGTGAGTGGAATTTAGGCATTTTTGAGAACCCCCCCCTTGGCCATTATCTTCCTGGTTTCCTTTGTTATTACTGAAGGCACACAGATTCAGCTCTTAGCTATACTGTTACAAATTGAAAATGACTCCACTGACTACAAAGGAGTGATGCTGAGAGCAGAATTAGAGCTGAGAGCAGAATCTGGCCCACGGGGGTTTTTCCAGTGAGAGTCCTCTCTGAACCCAATGCAATTTCTGATTGATGCTGCGATGAGGCCATAATCCTATACATGACACTCAGGCACCAGAGCAAGCCTGTATGTAATTGTAAACAAAACCCAGCTACTTGCTAGAAGTGATTACGAAGGCACCAGTTGAGCAGTATGACTTTACAGTTTACAAGGAGTGGAATGTCGGTGGAGAAGTCCTGGTGTAGAGATTGTATGAGGGCTGGGAGTTTCTCTGGGTTGCTGCTGGTTTTGTTCTAGTTGTATAGTTATTTTAAATCATATGAAAGGCACCCAGAGTAGCAGGTAGAAGACCCTAATAGCCTCCCACTTGAAACTGCACTATGGGATGTGGTTTAGCAAATAGTAAAACTGATTAGAAACACAAAAGGTGAATTGATCAAGGTTTTAAAAGACAAGATTTATATTCTGAAAAGTGACTATATTAAAAATTATAGTCAGGCTCCTTCCACTGGTGGCTTCAGGTCCAGCTATCTCAGATTACAAGTCAGAAAATGATTTTTCTAGTGAGCAGTGCCACTCCTGATCCAACTGGGCCTTTCTGCCTCTTATAGTCTCATCAGTAATAAAAATTCTCCAAACACAATTTAGCAGACAATGTTGATGATGCTGTAGTAGGCAGAGAAGAAAGAATCTCACTCACTCACCCATAGCTGTGTTTGCTCTGCAAGTGCTAATAGGAGTCAAAAAAACAAAACAAACCTGTTTGGGGTAATAAAGGTAGCAGCTGTGACTCCCAACACACAGTAATTCCCTGGACAAATCAGAATGTGCTGTTTTTACATGATCTTTTTTCTAATCATAACTGCACATTGGACTCATCTTGCCAGATCACGCTCTAGCTCCTACGTTATGGAAAGGAAAACATTCTGAAAGGAGAAACTGCAGGAGTTCTCTTCTGTGCAGCTCTACACTACAGAGCTCTATCGATGTAGCCACCACACTAAGAATAGGCTCCCTTATGTTTCCTCTTGCATTTCAGGAGATTTCATGGCATGTGCGAGAGCTGCTGGGGATTGAGGAGCCTCTCTGGAGCAGAAGCATTGCCCTCCCGTACAGGGACAACGTGGGCTTGTTTTTAGAGCACAAAGCCCCAACTGGTGCAAAAGCTGATGCCCTCACCTTCTCTCAGTTTGTCCAAGAAGCAGGATTAGAGCCATATGCTACAATTTCACAGCAGTCTGGGCTTTTTACAAAGGTGGAAGCAGACGCCCTTACCTTCTTTGTTCAAGAAGCTACAATTCCATCCTCTCTGGATTAAAGAAAGGTGCATTGATACTCTGATTTGTTTAGTGCTGACAGTATGCTCAGCCATGTACAGTTCCTCCCTTGAACACGTTTGCCATTTAAACTTTTACTCCTAAAGACACCCCTATGGGATATTGCCAGGCGCTGAACTCCTTAGTGCAGTTACATTATCCTATACTGAAAGGTTCCCTTTCTCCCCATTGCAGGAGCTCTGTGTGGCTCAGTCATGTCTGAACTGCTGCTACTTCACATGTTATCACCAAGACCAGAGATCAATCTTAATCACCTTTCATTGACACCCACTTTCCTCGAACCCAGGTGATAGATTATAAGGTTTTTCCCCAAACTCTAGTCTTTGCCCTTACAGATCCGGCTGATCTCGTTCACTACTCCACACACAGAAATAAGTTTAAAGAGTTAAGTGATGTATGTAATAATTGCCTTATGATATAGTGCCTTATGTTGTAAAGAATCTCAGGGTGCTTTACAAACTATATAATGCAGAAAGAAAAGGAGTACTTGTGGCACCTTAGAGACTAACAAATTTATTTGAGCATAAGCTTTTGTGATGCATCCGATGAATTGAGCTGTAGCTCACGAAAGCTTATGCTCAAATAAATTTGTTAGTCTCTAAGGTGCCACAAGTACTCCTTTTCTTTTTGCGAATACAGACTAACACGGCTGCTACTCTGAAACCTATATAATGCAGGAATCCCTTTCCTCATCACAGAAATAGTTACTTTTGAGATAGAATAGATATTTTTATTAATTGAACAACAGGTTAGATTAGGACAGGAAGTGTAGAAGAACATTTTATCCAACTGAAACTGAAGAAAGAATTTAAGGAGGAAGCACTGAATTGCCCTAGATGGAATTTGGCCAGGACTCCAGGGCTAAGACCCTTATTCTTGAGAGAAGAATCATGCAATCTTTTACATGGTTAGGGTTTTGGTTTTACATTTCATCCTACACTTTTAGGTCTCATCAGCATTTTCAGCAGCAAGGCATCTCCTGGCACTATGATTAAGTGGTGGTTCAATCCTGACTGAAAGGCAAAAATACTTCCTACCGAATCATCACTACCATTTTCTGCAGCAGCAGCAGGGATTTCATTGATCCCCAGTCCAAATACCGAACCGGCACAATCCTCTTTAGTGTGTGAGATCTTATTAGTTCAAAACCCAATGTGGTGGGACTGCAACCACTGTAAGGCTGCTCTCCTGCTTACCTATCAAAAATGCTACAGAAAACAAATGTGTCCAACAGTTTGAATTGAGGTCTTAGGACAAAATGCCATTTTAATAAGTGAGCTTGGATTGAAATAAAGCAGTTATCTGGCAGAGTGCTAACTTCCCAGGCAAGCAGGTTTAATAGAAAACCAAAACAAACTCTTAGAAATAAATAAAAACATGCACTGATTAGCGGAATCTGCAGTGTTACTCTAAACATTTAAAAGAGCAAGCAGCGCAAATTCCCACTTTTTCCCCACCTCGCTGTGGGACAGATAGTCATCACTGTTAGGTTCCAGGACTGTTCAGTAACAGCCATGCTTGTTGGCTCACTGTGTCCAGTACTTTGTTGAACGGTGACCCTTTCCAGAGAGAGAACTCAGAGCTAACACATGTAAAAGTCAGAGACCCCAAAGATTTTAGCGGTAGCCAACTCACATTCTGTGAGGATGTTACCAAGTGGTCACAAGTTAGGAGAGATTGCAGATGCATACAAGTTGGGAAGCTTGCCTGTACTTGAGAATTATGAGTCAGGAACGCTATTCACTTTCACTGTTTAATTTGCCCACTACTTTGCAGTTTGCTTGTGCTGTGGGTGATAGTCAGGTAAAGGTTTACATGCCATTCCAGCTTTATCCTTTCCACTGCAGGATAAAGTCCTCACTGTACATTCCTCCACCACACATAACCATATGGATCCTGCAATGGGAACTGGTAGGAAAGGGGTCTTAATCTCTGTCACAGTTCTCTTCAGCATTAAACCTTAGCAAAGCAGTTCCATCCCAGGAAGTTTGGAATCACACTGTGGTTATACTGTATGAAGCTTCAGAATCAGTGTTAGGAACATCCCCTGGGTCTTCTGTCCAAGTCACATCAATAGCAGTTGTGGGTGGACATTGACTCATGACCCAGCACCATACGGGGATCTGCTGTGGCAGGAAGAGAAGAAATTCTGCTGGCCATCCCTCCACTCTTTGCAAGCAAAACTCCAAAGGAGGTACAGTAAAACAAAGTAAGATGGTTCTGGAGAAGCACACTCCTTGCTAGAAGCTGACTGAAGGGAGACTCCTTCATTTGTACAGTTGTCAGGTCAAACCAGGGGAAGGTGCTGGGAAGAGAAAACAGGGTGTATTATTTATGGGCAACAGCTATCGGTTCCATACCTGTGATTTAACAAGATGGCTTTCTTTGGTCTTAAGTCCTCTGTCTTAGCCCATTGAGAAAGCTATGTGATTCAGAACCTTGAGTTCTTTGGACAAAGCCAGAACCACCCACAATGAGCAAAACTCACTCTGGTATTAATGGGATGATCTTGAACAAACTGGCCTACTGCATCCAGTAGTATACCGATAAACAAACACATCCATCAGACCAGCCCCAAAGCAAGAGTGTCAGTGCCTTGCCATTGGATCTTCTTCCACTATCCATAAGAACCGTCCGCTTCAGGATGATCCTCCAGCTATCTCTATACATGTTTGTACTATGCCCATCACACTGCACTACAACTAATCAAACAACTAATCAAACAATAATGCAGAAAACAGAATTAGTGGGGAGGGATGGTTCAAGAATTGGTAATGAGTTCTCTAGTACTCAGTTCAAATCAAGCCTTCATTGGGTAGTGACCAAAAGCATTATCACATGTGACCCAGGGATCTCTTGGTGCCCACTGACAGAGGGTACAGGGGGAACACACAAGGTTTTACACAGGTTCCTTGGAGTGGATAACTGCATAATATGCCAGAAGGGTTCACCGAAGGGTGGCATATGAGGTCTCTACCAAGAGCCTGTAGCCCACTGGGCAACATAATCATTGTGAAATGTATGTACAGATAATATTTAAGGAGTTATGTATCTATACTGAAAATTATGTTCTTCAGGTTTGGGAGTTAAGGCAGGTTACCAGGTGGTGAGAAACCTCTGACATGTTCCTTCCAGACAGGAGATAATAGATGTTTATCTCTCTGTCTGGCCACACTGAGCCAGCTGCCGCATGAGAAAGAGAGAGAGAGAGAAAAAAATCTATAGGAAAAAAACAATGAGCAAGAGGGTGTCCTGTCTGTGAATGAAGACAAAGCATCAGACTGGTATATCTTGTGGGGGCAAAGAGACACACAGGTTTCTTCATGTAGAAGGCAAGCTAACAGTGTTTTTGTCTTATGAAAAGGGCGGGGGCGGGGGGGTGTCACAGCCAGCCTGGCTGTAAAGCACTGTGAGAAGGATTTTGGGGTAAGCAACATTCTACAAGACATGAGAATATCTTGCTAATTATCTCTAGGCTCTAGAATCCATGTTATAATTTTATTTTATATGTAATCATTTGTTTTCAATATTTCTACTTGCTATTACTCGAATCTCTATGTTTTGTTAAATAAAGTGAGATTTGTTTATAATGAAATCAAGTATAAGTGGTGTGTGTTAAGCAGACCCATGATCTACGGTGGAACTGATAAGCTGTTTCTTTGGAAGCAGCCAATCTGTGAATACTGTAAGTGTGGAACAGGGGCTGGATACTCCAGGGAAACACTCGGCGGGCTCGAGGGCTAGAGTGTGCCAATCACTAACCTGCAGAGTGACAGTGTGGGGTCTGCAAGGCCTAGAGGGAAGTGTTTGTGTTGCCCATGGAGTAGGAGGACTGGCCTATGGCTTCCTCTCACTGACTAAGAGCAGGTGGTAAAGAGGTGCCCTCAGAACTGTGGGTACCACCGGGAAATGGCACACCATCCAACTGCTGTTCAGTGCCCTGTATGAAATGTGCTGGGATCTCAGATTGGTTCTTAATGGACAGATCTTCGGACATATGGCTTCTGACACCAGATGTTAGGTAAGTGATGTAGCCACTCTATCATGGCAACATGATCTGGAGACATCAAGCAGATCCATCCACCATCAAGATGATAAAGAGGGCTGCCCGTAACCAGATGGTCCCCTGTTTGTTCTGGACAGGTGACCACATAAGAAAAATCACCCGACAAATTAGCCCCCTTTTTGGCAGTCTTTGCAGAGAGATCAAGCACTGAGTGGGCCCTGGAGACTGAAATTCCCCTCTTCCTCCTAGCACTTGTCCCTCAAAGGCACATTGGGAGTGGGAGGGAAACTAGCTTTGCCACTGCACTGGCTCTGGGAGGATAAAAAACAGTTCTCAGACTCTGGGACTGTTCATTTAGCAACTTCCACCAACACTAAATTTAACTTAAATGTTTTAAACAAAAAAACAAAACTGGTGCAAATCTGGTGGGAGCAGGCCAAAAGCGCCACAAGATTAAGCCATCCAAGGCGGCAGCGGTAAAGCTTTCCGGTATAGCATTGTCTGAGGATTACAAAGCACTTTACAAATAAATAAAGCCTCACACCCTCCTCTCCCCATGAACTAGGTGAGGATTAACCTCATTTTACAGATGGGAAACTGAGACAGAGAAAGGAAGTGACATCCCAAGGTCATACAGGAAGTCTGTGACAGACTGAAAAAATGGACCTAAGTCTCCTGACACCCCATTCTCTTCTCTAACTCCAAGTCTGGCTGCTTGAAAAGGATAAAGGAACATTGTTCATCATTTTCATCCAAAACCCAACAATAACTGTATGGTGGCACTGGCGGGCTGTAGACATGAGGGACCACACAGGGAGGGACAATATTCTCCAGACTGCTAGTCAAGGTGGTGGTTCTTTAACAAGAAGAGGGGGAAACATTAAAACCAAAAGTTTTGCTGAGGATTGGGAATGAAAAAGGAAAAGGAGTGGGAGTGCAAGGCCAGCAGCAGGAGCTACTAGACAGAATAGAAATTATGTACCTATCTTGGGGGATCTTAGGAATTACAGACAAATGAACCACACTTCAGTACCAGGTAAACTGGTTTAAATGACAGTCAAAAAGAGATCTATAAAAGACCTAGATTAATATGATATGTTAGGACTAACCAGCACAACTTCTGTAAAGAAAAATCATGCCTTTCTAAAGTTCTTTGAATGTATCAACAAAACAATAGATATGGAGGAATCAGGGAACCAGGGCTTTGGAGCGGAGCCCGGAGTTGGAGCGCAGAGCAGCTCTGGAGCAGCGGAGCTGCAGGTTTTTGCCTGGAGCTGGAGTGGAGCTCCAAAGCCCTGCAGCTAACAATTCATTTGAGCTTCCAAAACCCTTCAATGAAGTTGCTGTAAATTAGAATCCTAGGGTAAAATTCGGTCATAGATGAGAGAGTGGGGAAGAGAGTGCAAAACAGAAACAGAGTACAAATATATGATCAATTTTCACCATGCAAAAAATAGGGTACCCCAAAGTTTCCATGCTAGAGCCAGTGCTTAGTAGATTTATCAGTGATCTATAAGAGGAACAAACAGCAAGCTGGCAACATTTGCAAATGGCATGAAATTATTTTGGTTAGTCAACATTAGAAATGACAGTCAGTAATTTCAGGGGGACCTTGCAAAACTAAGTGAACAGTAATATCATGACAGAGGAAATCCAGTGTTGACAAGTGCAAGATAATGCACATGGGAAAGAGTAATATGAACTACTCAAAGTCGCTGGGTTCTAAATTACCTGTAACCACTTAGAAAAAACATTTCTGCTGTATGTGCAGTGGCCAGAGAGCAAACAATGTTAGTTTGCATAAATAATGGAATGGAAAATAACATTGACAATATTTAATGCCAGTTTTATAATGACACTGCATAAATCAATGATACGTCCTCACCCAGAATACTCTGTTCAGTTCTGGTCTCCCCATCTCAAGCAGAAAATATAGAAGAAATAGAAGGGGTTTCAAAGATAAGCAATGAAAGATTGAAAATCTTGGAAAGATTTCTTTGTAAAGAGAGATTGATAATATGGGGACTGTCTAGTTTAGCCACAAGAGCAATGAGAAGGGACATGATAGAGGTATATAAAATATTGAACCATCCAGAGATGGTGAATCATGTCCTCTCACATAAGAGCAAAATGACATTTGATGAAATTGAAAGGCCACAAATTTCAAATCAATAAAATATTTTTTTTTATATATTGCATACTTAACCTGTAGGCTCACTGCCACAAGATAGCATTGATGCCAAGAGGGTCATAGGATTCAAAACAGGATTGGACATTTAGATGGCTAAGAACAGCCACAGTTACACATTACATGTCTTTTCCCCTCTCTCTCTTTAATTTAATTTATTTAAAGGAAGGGATATAAGCCTGCCTGCTTCAGAGCAGAACCCAAGCACTGAATGAGAGGTTAGAAAGAAACTTTCCCTATGGACAGATTAGTCTCAATTTTTTACTATGAGTTTTCTTGAACCTTCTCTCAGGCATTTGGTATTAGCCACTGTCAAAGACAGAATAGTGGACTAGAAGGCCCACCAGTCTGGGTTGTCCAGTATGGACTTTTCTGTGTTCTGTTGTTTCACACCAAGTTGTACAACTGGAATATCCTACATATCCTCACTGAGTAAATTCTTATCTCTAAAAACTGGAGTAGAGGGGCTCAGAGTGAGATACTGAAGTATTCAATAGGTGGATTTCAGGTGGCTTAACAACTAGCAGTATATTGGACTTTGGGTTGTCCATCCCTTATCACACAGGGTAACATTTTCAAAAGCGCTGAAGTCCCATTTTCAAAAATGACTTAGGAACTTGGAAGCCAAGTCTCATTAAAATCAATGAGACTTTGGCGCTTTTGAAAATTGACCCAGCACTCACTGGTGCATGACACGAAGTCAGGAGGGCGTGTACCATATTCTTCCTCTGTAATAGGAAGACTCCTAGCTTTCAAATCCTGGGATGTGGCAAAAGTTCAGGGAGGATGGCCAAGTAGAAACATTTGAAGTTTGGCACTTTACTTACTCCTCTTGAGTCAGGGAGGAGACAAAAGTTTGGCTGACAAAGTTCCCACACACAAAGCGTGGGCAGGAAGTCTTCTGCTCTGCACAGATGGGGCAGTGCTCGGGGAAACATATGTCATTCAGTAACTTCAGTGTGCGCTGGTGGGGCAGACGCCACCACATGCAGCTGTTCAGGGCTGCATAGAAAATGGCCTCCAACCACTTGCCAGTCACAGCAATTCTCTCTGCACAACAATCAGAGAACAAACGTTGTCAGTTATCACTACACATACTGATGTGAAGGAAACAGCAGAGATTTTTTTTTTAATGTCTCGTCCTCTCTTGTTCCCTATCAAGAAGGGTCAACATGGCAACAACGCACAATGTGCTTATTTACAGGCCAGGGAGGAGAGGCTCAAATCCAGTAAGTAACAATAATATACTAGCTTATACCCATCTAGCATGTAAAGCATGTTGGGCTGAAATAAGCTGTGTATAAAGGGACCACTCATCCACTGCAGCTGTCCCTGTGGTAGAAAACGACAGTTAACAGTTTAGGACAGGAAGTTAAGAGGAATACCATATCCAGGTGAAACCATGGAAGAGATGGGAGAATCTAGGGGTGGCAAGTCAATTCCCAAGTTGGAATTTAGTCAGGGTTGACACCAAAATACGGACTTGGTCTTGATCTATACTCCATCAGAAGGCCTCCTAGCTCCCATTCATGGCTTTCCCATCTGAGAGTGCCAAGGCTCCTGCTCGCTCACCAAAGGAAACGATGGCTCTCAGAAGAGTCAGAAAAGAGTTCCAGAGGCATACACATGGAGAGAGGTCTTCTCCACAGTAATTGTCCTGACCGTAACAGTGGGGCACTGAAGCACTTGCAAACTCTAACAAAATCAGACAAGTCAGAGATGGAAAAGATTTTTGGGGGTCACTTACTCCATCCTCCTGCCCATACAGGATTGGCCCCCACTAGCTATTAATTCTGTGTTTTGTCCAGTCTAGTTTTATCTAGCCAGTGACAGCCCTGCCAGCATTTTTATTAGGAGGTTTTTCTTCCATATTCTGCATTTCCAAACCATTATTCTCATTCAGTGCTGCTCAGGTGACATAGAAACTGAGTAGCTATTACTCTATAGCCAGCCCTGTTCATGAATCTTGCTGGGGCTAGGACAGGCTCAGAATAGTGTGAATGTCAAGCAAAGACATTGTTTCTAATTCCACAGGAAAACACCTGCAAAGTGAGGAGAAATACATTCACCTTTGGGACCACAGGGACAGGTAGCCTGTATAACAATAGGGTCTTGGAGTGCAGCTGTGATTGTCCCATTTGTCCCCCACATGTTCCTTAAGTTTCTGCTAGTGCACTGGTATTGTGGCCTCAGGATGGCACTGTAGGAAAGGAGCTGCTTCAACCTGAAAGCAAAGTCATTCAAATAACTCAGAAAAGTATCCAGTGCCCAGAGAGTGGCACACCAAAGGAGAATAAAAGTACATTTCTATAATACCATTTATTCCAAACTCTGTTTACAGCATCACTGAAATGCTGCCGCCTCTGGGGTGCAAAGAAAGCAAACACTGGACAACATGAGGGGACAAGGGTAAATGTTATAGCCAGACACAAGGCAAATCTCTGCTCTTACAGTAAGTTCCAGGGATGGTCAATGCCCACACAGCAGACGGAACTTTAAATGTTTAAGATCCTGTCTGAAAGAACCACATGCAGTAAAGTGCAGGGCACCAAATACACTAGTCAGAGGAGGCTGAGTCAATGCTGCTAGGATTCTAATCTGAGCATGTTAGAGCTGAGACATTTCACAGAACAGCTGGGACTTTAGCAGTTTTGTTTTGTTTTTTTGAAGGAAGGGAAGGAGTGAGTCTGTGCTACATCCTGGTCCAATATTGATAGAACTTCCACCGACTAGGATTTGGCCCTTAATCCCTCCCTACTTTGGTAAAGTAACTTCTATATCCTGCAGAATAATAGAAGCCCAAGAGAAGGACAGGGTGGCTCTGGAGGCCAGTAATAGGACATTAGCTTTTCACTGCTAGGGTCCTGGTTTAAATCCAGCCCATCTCAGTAGTTACTGAAGGGTGTTTGTTCCCATGAAATGGCTGTTCAGTAGCCTGTGTAAAATGAGATTGCGGGTCTCAGCACTGTTCCTAGTAGATATCTACAGCACAAAGAGCCTTGTTACATTTGTCCCCTTGTTAGCCTCTCAGCAGAGCAGCCAAGAACTGAATGGGCCACAGAGACTGAACCTCTCCCAATATCGCCACCCCAAACATTCAAAAATCCTAGGTCAGCCCCCGCAAATAATGAAGTTAACTTAAAAATTATGAATTTGTTTTACATAATACTTCACACTGCCTACGTTTTATTTCTGGCCTCCTGGGTTTAGAGCCCTTAGGGTGCACTTAGGCCATGTTTCAAGCTTTTCTCCTCAATCATGAGAGCTAGAAACTTACGTTTTTAAAAAATAAACACTGAAATTCTCATGTATTCATGTGATTCCCGAGGCTGGGGCTTTAAGAAAACCACCAGTTATTGCGAGACTTGTGATAAAATCATGAGAGCTGGCAACACTGCTGCCACCATGCCAGGTCAGGCACGTTGGCAGTGGTGGCACTGTACTGGCCTGATGTGTGGACAAATCAGGGGATTTAGTGTGCTGGGCTATCACACCAGCACTGATGCAATCAATACTACCTGGGCAGCGGGACAGCAGTGACCAGGCTGTACACAATGCAAGGTTCCCGGAGTGCAGAATGAATTCCTGAGCAGATTTGCTGTAGATGAGATGGGAGGCAACAAAGAAACACAATGTCTGCCCAGGCCACAAGCTGGCCATTGTCATAAAAACATTCGACTCCCAGCTGCTGGAACTCTGCTAGGGAAGACAAACAGAAAAGGCAATCATCACCCCAGCTCCAAGAGGCAAGGAGGAGCAGCCAGATAGTCTGCAACATCCACACTTGTGTAGGGTCATCGTGGTGTTTGCTCTCAGGCACACCTTGGTAAGGTGTGAGAAGCATGCGTTACCTCAGCTCATAATGGGTTAATCCAGGTCCTCTCACCAGGTGGCCCTTAAGAGCTTTATTAGCAGCTACCCATTATCATTATTGATGCACAGCCCATGGTAGCCAGGTAACAGAGAAATGAGCCTCGCTCCTGGGAATAAATAGTCAGAAAATGTGGTTGTCTGGCACCATGTCATGAATATTGATTAAAACTTTAACTGAAGCAGCTAACCCTCAGGATCTGGGTGATTTTCAAGACCTATAAAAAGCCATTTAATAACTCCCCCCCCTCTCCCCCCTTTGGAGGATTTGATTGTTGCAAGCGCCCCCACCCCTTTCACTTGGTATTTTTAACATTTTGGAGTAAAGAGAGAAAGAAGCATCTTGTGCTACTGACCCTACAGTGATAGGCCAAGGAGAGTCCCTGGCAGTAACGGCTTTTCAGATCAATGTGGATATTGATTTGGAGAGGTATTTAATCCATCAAGTGAATATTTAATGTGTAGGCATTAGTGTTGCAGCCACTGAGCAATGATGTGAAAAACTGCCAGGGAGAATTTAGAATAGGGCAGCAAAACCAGTTAAGAGGCTGATGGGACTGAGTCATGAGGAAAGATTAAAGGAGAAAAATATATCACTTTTCCAAATGATGGCTAACGTGGGGGATACAATAACTCTCTATAAATATTTGAAGGCTGTAAGTCCCAAGGAGGAGATGACTTGTTTAGGGTGCTCTAAGGAGGTATGATTGGTATAATGGAGTGAAATTAAAAAAAGGAAGGAAAATATAGAATTATCAATATTTCCTAATGCTGAAATCTAACAGCCTGTGGAATAGACTTTGAAAGGAAAAGGGTAAAAACTCCATTGATTGGGTCTAGGGCTGGTCAAGACGTGTACATCACAATGGTTTTTGATGGAAAATTGGGTTGTCAGATAAACAAAGTTTTCCACAAAAAGTGTCTGCTTTCTGCTGAAAATGTTGAGCTTTCATTTTTTGACAAAGTCAAAAGTTTTCTGTGGAAAAAAAATTCGGACCAACTCGAGTTGGGACACTGAAAGTGAGACAGCCAAAGCAGGAGAAAACACACTATGAGACTTGCAGTGGCAGGGGTGCTTGGATTAGATATGCTAGGTCTTTACCCATTTGAATTCCCATGATTCACTAGCTCTTACACAAAGTCTCTGGCCTCCTGGTGGAGATGTGGATATTCTGAGACGAAACGCCACTCAGCTCCAGTAGTGCCCTGGCCAGCTGCTTCCCAATGTGGCCTCCACCAATAATCCCAACCTTCAGGCCTTCACTGCCCATAGATTCCTTGGAGGAAATCAGTGAAACCTTCCCACTCTCTTTCTGCCTGAGAAATGACACACAGAGCTGACATCACTCCACCAGACACTACAATGTATCCATTACCCTGAAACTAGTCCCTACACTGTTCTCCTCAGGAAGGAACCACTGACCAGATTTTCCTGAAAGGAGAGAAGACTTGTCCCATATTTTAAAGAGTCAGTGCTATGTTTTCATTCTCATTTCTAAAACATAAAAGCTAGCAGCAGCCAGCCCAAGCTCCAGCTACTCCTTTCCAAGATCTAAAATTCACAATGATCAACATCTATAGTCGCCTTAGATCCGCTGCTAGGTACCCACATCACCATAATCCAATCCTGCCCCACTTCTTAATCATGCCATATAACAAAAACCCCATCCATCCCTTACCATGTCCTCTCTTCAAATACCCATGAAGAAAAGGGGAGTTTTGCAGCATGAACAGAAAGGTAACAGATTTCTAGTACAAATGGAAGTGAATTCCAGACCTGAGAGGCCCTCAAAGACACCCTGCCAGCAGTTCCTTCTCTTCTTTATCAAGGGGCTACAACTCAAGTCCTGGTGACCACAATTGCAGTAATATGGCATGGGGAGAGGGGTGCCCCTTAGGTAATATGAGCACAAACCATTTAAGGCTCTAAAGGGCAAAACCAACACCTTGAATTCCACCCACTAACCCACTGGCAGCTAGTGCAGCTCACAGAGCACGGGAGCTATTATTCCCAGCGCAAAACTCCCCATAACATTCTGAATTAACCGCAGCTTCTGAATGGTCTCATGGTATAGCTCCAAGTGATCTAATCCTGAGATGATAGAGACACAGATGGTCTTAATAAGATCCACATCCCAAAGGAATGGTCACACTCACCTTACCCAGCACAGATGGGGAAACTCACAGGCTCAGGGGACTGGGAATGAGATATGGAGTGTCCCACCTCCAGGGCACCCAGACAGATAGTAACCAATACACATCATTGCATGCTGAGGACTGTTCCATGACCTATGTTGAATCAGCTGGGGGCCTTGTTCTAGTGAGAAGGGCATCCACATCATAAAATATACCACCACATCTGGCACTAACTGGCTTCTTGTTGACAATCTTAGCCAAAGACCAAATGGGTCACTGAGGCTGAACTCTTCTCTCACTCCTCTGATTTCCACCAGGGGAGAACTGAGGTCTGTTGGTAAGGGGAAGCTTGCCAGTAGCTGCCCTTTTTCTGGGGATAAATAGAGGCCTTCAGTCTCCAGGCCTGTCAAGCCAGCTCCTTTCTTCAATATTGAGAAACATCAAAGGAAAGGATGCCTATTTCAGCCTTACCTGAGGGCATGGAGCAGCTTGCAGAAGAAGACAGCATGGGCACATGCATTCACCATCAGCCCCTTGCAGCGGCTTCTCAAACACAGCAAGGACTGTTTGCATTCTTCCACCGCACACTCAGACTGAAAGGACTTCAAATTCACCATGATATCTGACATTGTGGCCCTGCATGAGAACCTTCAGCAATGAGCGGCAGTTAGAAGAGTGGCCCAGCATCCATCAGTCTGGCATTGCAGCCAATCCCCAGCTCCTCCCACAGAGCAGGGGTAGCCAATATACACCTAGTTCTACTTCAACAACATGACAAACATTACCAGTAGTAAGGAGGAGCAGAAAGATCTCAGCATGTGATGCAGCAGAGCCTCTGAGATCAAGCATTGCATGCTGGGATTATTGTTTCCATGGAGCTGCAATCTAATTCATTCTATGAAGTGTAGCTGTGGCTGGCAACAACTGACAAGTTGCCGACACAGCACTTGGAAGGGCGCAGTATGGGCTGCTCTGCTCCTAAGCTACAGGTAAGATGAAAACTAGAGCCAAGGTGAGCAATTCCAGTTTCCAAGTATTATGTTTTTCATTCATCACCAGTCTGAGTTTTGTCAGCATTGTGTGCCCCACCTTCCTCTCCTCCTTCCCCCCAAGCCTCTCAGAGAATGTGCATCTCTCTTCCTTCCTTCTGTATCCCTCCCCTCAGCATGAGAAGCTGAACAGCTTTTAGGTCTCAGAATAGAGCCTGGTATTTTCGTTGCTTGGGGTCAGAGCCTCACCAGAGCCACCCGTGGTTTCCACAGGAATAGCATGCAGTCTCACTGCAGAGCACATCACAATGCAAACACAGGACACTAAGCTTGGGCCCTCTGGTTGTTCCCAATTTTAGACAAAGTTCTGAGCACCCTTGACTCCAAGTGAAATGAAAGTGCTCAGCATCTTCCAGGTTCGAACCCATATTGGGAAGTCACCATTTCAGTTCATTTGACAACAGTGGGGCTTCTTTAGTCATTGGGTAAACAGCTTCTTCAAGTCAGGCAACAGTCAGGCCTGTTTCAGTGAAGTGGATAGCTTATTGCACCATTTGGCCTAACCCAAGGCTGACCCGCTCTTCTCATCAAGAAGGGCTGGAGTCAGTCATTGCTTGAGCGGCCAGTATGGGGGGCTGCTGAGCAACATAAGGCACTTCCTCCTCTCCTCCCAAGGGCTGGGAACTGTTAACTGTGACCACCTGAAACTGATCCCAAAACCAGCCCTGACTACACAAAGATAATATAGCAGGGAAAGGGTGTTCCTAAGGCTTTCTCCAGCACTTCTTATTCAGGCAAAGTACCCAGTGAGTAAAGGAGGCTGAATATGGCCAAAGATGCCCTCTGTCCGCAGCAGGCCTGTAGTGCCAAGCCAGACCCCAAGACTCTCTAGTTATAAGCAAACCGCTTTGTTTATAACATCACGAAAAGACAAAGAGCCTGATCCTGCAGCCATTACTCCCCCAAGTAGCTCTACTGACTCTAGTGGTGTGAATAAGGAACACTCAGGTGGGTAAAGGTGGCCTGCCTGAAGATCTAACACACACAAACCCCCTGCAGTTTCTACTGTCTGAATTTTGTACCTAGTCCTGCCCCAGCTGAAGTGCTGATGACAAAACCCCCTTCATCAAGCAGTGTAATGCTCCTTGCTTGAGAAAAAAACCTCAGCAGCCTCCTGGATCTCCCACCTGGTGAGACCTTTTACCCATTGCCTCCCTGCTGGACTCCTTTTCCACGGGCTTCAGGTTCTCAACAGCAGGTCACCTCCTATTCTGGAATCCAGGCAACTCAATCCAAACAAGTGAAGTTGTCATGGCAATTGCTTAGTTACCAAATGTCCTGGTGAGAACCTTGCTGTTTGCGTAAAAGCCACCAAAGCCCAGGCCCTTAAGGGTCCAGGACCACATCTCTCATCCCACAGAGAATGGGAGAAAATAATAGTTAGAAGAGTCATGAGTAAGGCTAAGATTTTGTCACGGGTATTTTTAGTAAAAGTCACAGACAGATCATGGGCAACATACAAAAAGTCATGGAAGCCTGTGACCTGTCTGAGACTTTTACTAAAAATAATGGGGAGGGGGGAGGTTATGGCGGAAGGGGTGTTGACTGAAGCCCAAGTGGGGGAAAGAGAGCCCAAGCCCTGCTGCAGGAGGGGAGCAGGGTGCAGCACTCGCCGTCCACGGTGGCACCTCCTTGCAGCTCTTGATGCCCCCCGCTGCGGCAGCTCCTCACAGCTCCGGGTGCCCCCAGCCAGCTGACAGCTCTGGCCTTGCCGCCCTGAAGCTGAAGTGAAAAATGTCAAGAAGGTGTCTGAAAGTCACTGAATCCATGATTTCAGTGACCTCCGTGACAATCTTATTCTTAGTCATGAGCGTCTCTGGAGGCAGGAAGTTCACTTCCACCTCATCAAATTAACATGAGTAGCCGGACAGTTCTGGGTGCAGCTCTGCAACCCTGACACCTAGTGGTTAGGTTAGCATTGGCCATTCATGTTATGCGTACACCGCAATAGAACACCCACAGGGGGGGCCCATGGCAGCTGACTCAGGCTCACAAGGCTTGGGCTGTGGGGCTATAAAATTGCAGTGTAGACATTTGGGCTTCGGCTGGTCCGCCGATTCCCAGAGTCCAAGCTCCAGCCCAAGCCCAATTTACACAGCAATTTTATAGCCCTACAGCCCAAACGACCCACTCTGTTCTGCAACCCCCCACACCCGGCCTCAGTCAGCTGACCCAGGCCAGCCACAGGTGTCTTGTTACAGTGCAGACATACCCTCAGGCACGAAGCTCCTGTGAAAATAGATGCTAGGCAGGTGCTGGCAACCTTTTTGCGTTGGTTTCCTGTGTTCCTCCCAGAGCAAAGTGGAGGGGTAAGTTTGGTACAGTAATTCTTTCAGGTTGGGGATAGGGTTGGGCGCTGTCTGAACATTTCTATGGTACTTTTAATTCCAAAAAGCCCAAAAGCATTTTACAAACTTCAGGTGAACTCTACGCAAGGATCACTTCATCCAGGGGATGGAGTGCAGCAGTTGTTTAAACAGCTACACAACAACATTACACAACCACTTAGAACAGGAAACAAAGAATGATGCTACTCCTCACTGAAACTACCACGTAGGAGAGGGGAAATTTAGGGAGAAAGAATAGAATGACCCAGGTTGGCATTTAACAAGGACGCCACCCTACTGGTTTTGCAAAGAGTGCCATGAGATCTGTAATGACCTTACATCTCATCAGAAACCCATCACCTCCTAGCACCACTCTGGGGAAAAAGTACCCTAATTAATTACCACTTCCTGCAGCTGGTAGGTCTCCCACCCACATATGACCAGACTCAACTCTGCTTTGCTTGCAAGGTCGGACAGGATCAGAGCCCTGCCATCCCATGGTCAGACTTACTGTGTGCATAAGTGCTGCATGCTGCCACAACCAGTTCCTCCAACAATGGCTTCATTCTGCAAAGTAGAAGCTGCTCCCATATCTTATAGCAGACACTAAGAAGCACGATAGGTCAATAGTTTTTCACGTTGGCTGCCTCTTTTCCTGGTTTAAGAATGGCTATAATTATTGCTGCTTTCTATTCTTTTGCTCTTCTCCCTGAGGAGTGGATGTTTGTAAAGAGAACAGCCAGCACGTTCTCGCTCTTGGACCCAAATGCTTCAGGAACTCAGGGAATACATCATCAACACCTTCTGCTTTTCCAGGCTTTATTTGGACAATGCCTCTGTCCACCTCCTCCACTGGCTTCAGAATAGGCAGAAACTGTTGTGACCCAGTCCTTGTGTTGACCAGTTACATAGAAGCCAGCTACCAATGCCATCTTAAAACAAGAACAGCATTTATCAGTCCTAGTTTGGCATATGGTACAGGATGGCGGAAAGGACGTCCACTGAAACTTGCAATAACCATTCCCTGTCGCCCAACGATTAGGCTCACCGCGGAAACACTGAGCAACTGCAGATTCACAGGGTATCTCCGTCAAGCTGTCAGCAGCCCCCCGAAGACTGAACAACGGACTCCCGCAAGGGTCCTTTCTAGCTCCAGCACTTTTCAATCTATATATCAGTGATATTGCACCAACATCCTCCCGCAAGTTCATGTATGCAGATGACATCGCACTGGCTACTCAGGCTTCCTCATTTGAAACCTCAGAAAAGGTTCTAGAACAGGACCTAAACACACTAGAAACCTATTTCAAGGCATGGCAGCTAAATCCAAATGCCTCAAAACCGGTGGTCTTAGCTTTTCATTGGAAAAATACCCAGGCCAAGATGGCATTAAACATCAATTTCTGCAAGTCACAGTTGATGCATGATCATAATCTGCAGCACCTGGGGATAACCCTGGTGTGCACACTCAGCTTCTATCACCACCTTGAACAAACCAAAAGGAAAAAGAAGGCCAGGGTCAACATCATACAGAAGCTTGCAGGAACATCTTGGGGAAGCGATGCCCGCACACTCCAAATATCAACACTAGCCGTAGTCCATTCCATAGTGGAATACTGTGTCCCAGTTTGGAGAGCGTTAAGGAAAAGTTAGCACATGTGACTCCATTTTGGTTTGGGGCCCACCATTGTTTAAATGCCAGCACATCATACACCAGGAGGAGTGATCCTTAGATACTGAATCCCTGTGAAAATCCTCCTCCTTGTCTCCAGCCTGCCTTGACTCCCCGTATCTGGTTTTTGTTAGTCTCTAACTCCCTGTCTCTTGGCCTTGATGTGAGGCCTCCCATCCTGATAATAAAAGTTACTGATGCATGGCTTTAGGACCATGCTGTGTAATTAACATACTGGTATAGCACGAGGAATGCACCAAGCAGGGATAGGTGGTAGATAAGACAAGGGTTTGTTCATTGGCTAAGGTTTCCGATGCACGAGGGCAACACGCTTTGCTAAAAAGTATATAACCTTTGTATAATCTGTATTCAGGGTCCCCTCCTGGCTAGCAGGGGGCACCACGCTCGAGCGTAATAAACTTAGTGTCTTTTGGGAACTCTGCAGTTGTGGACTTTGTTTCTGTGCCTCAGCCTAGATTCGAACTGTGCGTGTCCTATCAGGTATAATTCGCAACACTGGTGTGCGTGTCCTATCAGGTATAATTCGCAGCATTTGTGTGTGTGTCCTACCAGGTGTAATTCGCAGCATTTGTGTGCGTGTCCTACAAGGTGTAATTCGCAGCAGTTGTGTGCGTGTCCTCTCAAGGTGTAATTCGTAACAGTTTTGGCGACCACGAAGGGACTCTAGGCTTGCCCCAACAAGCGAGACTACACTCCTCCTCTTAGACAGCTCCAGCCGGCACAGGGTAAGTTCACCTTTGAGAACTCCGAGGAGGGGGGGTGTGAGCCGTCGCTTAGGCGATAAGGTGGCACATTTGGTGTCCTTTTGGTAGCCCATTATGGGTTCTGGGCAGAGTGTAAGTAAGGGGACCCCTTTGGCTGAAATTCTTGAGAATTGGGGGACTATTTCTGGTACCCATGGGTTAGGTAAAAAAAAAAAAAAAGCTGTAATCTTGTGCAAGGTTGAGTGGCCAGCACTAACAACTCAAACACCTTTTGTCTGGCCA